TAAAAAATATTATTTTCTTTTATATATTTTAGTAAATAAATATGAAAAAATAAATTTATAATTGTTTCATTTCTCGATTAAAGAGAATAAATTAATTTTATTTAATTAATAAATTGATTAATTTGCCTTCATTTTATTTAAATTAACAACCTGAAGTGATTATAATGATAAATTGTCTTTAAAAATGTATCAAATATTATATATAATAAATTCACGATACTTCGATTTAAGTTTAAATGTAACATTAATAAAGTTATGTTGAATTGTAAACATGTAGCGCCTGTAAAGCTTGCTTCTCTGCATATATATATCTGTTCTGCAGGAAAGCTTACCTTACAGGTTAACAGAAAAATATACATTTGTTTTAATATTAAACTTCTGTTTTAATGAATTTATTCATAGTAAAAGTAATTTAGAAAGCCATAATTAATTCAGAGAGTAGTGTTATGTACATTCACTTCATCAATGCAGATGTGTGAACAATTGTAACAATTAATTGCCATAATCGCCTCATTCAATTACACTCATAAAATAATTGGATGACAAGAGTCATAATAAACAGCTGTGTTAAATAGCACTTGTTAATGATGCACGCAATTGTATATATGCTATTAATCATCTAATTAGTCGGTCATTTTTGCTTTTAAAAATTCTGATTAAATTTGACAATAATTTTCATCATTTGCTTGCTTTTACATATGATAATTTGTGCTTTTTGAAATACTGAGAGAAGAAAAAGAGTGGAGGGAAGAAAAAAAAAACGATAATTTTAAAAAAACATCGATTGACAAACGTTTCTTTCAATTAAAAATGAAGTAAAAATTCAGTTGGTTTAAAAGCTTTCATGAATATAAATCAATACCTAATGGAAAAGATGGGAAGGTTCACATTTTCTGTTTCAGAATCTATATCCTAAGTTGTCACGTCCAATTTTTTCAGTTATTTTACGCTATCCGGATAAACGACTACTGAACGTGGAATTAATGTGAAAGGAAAATTAAGCAATAGTGAATTGTTGCAAACAATTAATTACATTTAATATTTAGGAAAAAAAAAAACTAAGCTAGATAATTACCATTATATGGTAAATTTACTGCTTTTTAATTATAACACTCATTTTTTATGCCTAATTAGCGTTTTAAAATTAATTCAAAATTAAATTTGACTGATATAATTAAATAATTTGCTATACTCTATCTCTTTAAATCATAATTAACAATTATGATCGGCTTCATTTAATTTGATTTCTTTTGTTAAATTATACAGTTTTAATTAGTCATACAACGAATATTACCTGCTTAAAATTTAAAAGCGGAATACATCGGAAAGTTATAATTTTCAATAGAAAATAAGTAAATTTAATCATCACAATGAACAGATAACTGTTAATTTAATATTATAACAGTTTTAAATGCATCGTACCATCTCGTGTTTAATTATTACAAAAATAAATAAAGGGTAAATAATTAAATTCTTTGAAATTTATTTATATTTAACCAATTACGTGAAGATTTGAAAACTATGGAAAAATTTCTTAAGTGAGAAAAGTCATCGAATATATAATAAGTTTCTTTCCCGTTTACATCCGAGGGGAAAAAAGGAAAAAAATATTCAATATATTTTAGAAATGAGTAAATATGATAATCAGATAGGCAACTTCAAACTCTTTTCAATAAATATAGGAAGGAAAAAAAAATTCAATCTGAATTTAAAGTTTGTTTCAGTCAAAAGCGACTGGACTTTTTATTTGGATGAAAAAATGTAAGAAATTTTCATTATATTCATATGAAAATTCGATTTATTTGAAAATTTTTATACTCAAAAAAATAGAAACTAACTTGAATAATAAATTTATTTCTACTAACAAAGCTTAATTAATTGTAACATTCAACTGAAACCATCGAAAGTTTATTCTAGAAAACGGATTTAATGAAAGAAAACAAAAGAATGGACAAATTATTTCTTAATTCTATAAAATTAGAGATTTCTGGGATTTATTCTAAAAATAAAGGATTTTTATTAAAAAATTTTGTAGTAAAATACGCATTGGAAATTTCATTAAAAATCTTAAAATATTAAATTTAAGATGATTGAAAAGATTACTTTCTCAAGCAGTTCGGATGAGAAGCTTGCCTCTTATAAGCGTATAATAAAAGAAAGAATGCATTTTATAACATAGAGAGACCAAAGTAAAAAAAAAGGAATGTTGGTAATTAGAGTAGATGTCATTGTTTGTATGAGAGGAGGTTCCTTCTTAGCTTGAAGGTACCTCTCCAAAAGACGGTTGAGTTACCACAATAACTTATCGGTGGCTGTCCACTAGGGTAGTTGTGGCTTCCTTATTGTTACAATACTGATGGACGTTGTCAGTGGAATGCGGAGAGTTTAATATCGGCGTTGGTACGCAGGATTTTAAAGGAATATTATTGAACAGGACAAGATACGAAAAAAGTAGTCATCTCCTGTATATCACGTGTTTTCCGTTGTTGTGGAAAGTCCACTTGACAGTAACTATGTCAGACTTTTTTTAATAATAATATTTATAAGTCAATATAGAGACGAGATGATTTGTTGCTTCTAGTTCCACATTCACTTTTAAGCACTTTCAAATATCCCAATGTTGATTCTGTAAGAATATTTATCAAAAATTATAAAGGATATTTTCGTAATTATCCTTAATTTGAGCTCGACTGATTAATAAAATAGTTGCTCCTTCGGTAAAAGGGAGAAGTCTATCAGTAACAGACTGAACAGTATATGAATAGACCTAGATCTACTCACATGTTTCTATATATCATCCTGTTCTTCTCTAAATCTTTGCTATTTTAATGTTAAATATGATTTTAAGTATTTATAAACATGGAAAATAATCTATTTATTAAGAAAAATGAACATTTTATGTTAAAAACAGAATAAACATTTATTATTACTAGTAAACAGATATTCTAATTAATTTAATATTTTATCAATTAAAAGTTATCTTAAATAATAAAATGAAGTAAATATTAATTCTGAAGTCGACTCAATGATATCCAGCGAATGTTTCCATAGCAATTGGTATGAATGAAAATTCTCTAGTCAATGATGTTATAATGTACTCTCCAAAAGCTGAATGGTTCCTATCGAGCGTAAGGGAAATCGCAGATGAGTTAAGTACCTATGCAATATTTAAGAACCGGATATATATCTTTATAATGACTAAAACGAATGGGGGAGAATCTGTCCAATAGAAAGAGAAGAAACAATCCCTTTCCATAGGAAAAAAAGGAAAGAACCAGACTCTTCAGTTTAGATCAATACAAAAATAGGATAGTTCGTTCCCCGAAGACGAATTTTACGATTGTTCACACATTGCTAGTCAATCGACGACTTCTATGGCTTTATAAAAGGTGCGATGTTATGAAAGGCATTGACGTGTTGTATTCTGACGTCCGTTGGGATAACGTAGTGCGGTGTTATAAGTCTCGAGTGGGCACTTGTGTCAAGTTGAACCGATCACAAACGATTTAAGTACACACGTGTCGATCGTACAGCGGCGTCTCTTCTTGATTTATATCTAGTGATTGTAAATGTTAAAATTTTTATACGATGACGGACGTTATATCACTTTACACTCGAAAAAATTGTCAAATATCTAACAAGTGCGAGTTGCTGATTCCTCCTCCAGAAACCGAGCATTTAATGGGCACAAAAGTAAAGAATTGTGATTAAATCGCTGCAAGGTATCGATTCTACACTAATATATGATTTAATAAATAACATGTATAGGGATATAAAGCGTTTAATTGGTAGGTTTTCCGGAGATTTCCGTAATAACAGACAACGCGCAGTTAGGATATCAAGAATGGAATGCGAAGATACGCTATTATTCAAATAGACATGTCACTGCGATTATGTCATCGTTATTAGATGACAAAACACGTTCAGTAGATAGGATTTTATTAATTTAACACATTATTCAACTCTCCTAGCGATTTTCCAAATTAAAAAAAAGTAAAAGGAAGACATCTCCGTAACAGGTAAACATCTACAGCTGCCAGATATATAAAAATTCTCAATCGAATTATCAATAATTATCCGAATTAAAGTAGAGAATGAATAATTGAAAATTAAATAATGGATTCTTCTTGGGATACGGGATAATTATCATATACAATCCTCACTCTTGTGAATTATTGATCTTTATTCTAATTACCGAGTGAAAAGTGCGAACCGGATAAAGGGGGAAAATATATCATTCAAAGAAAAGTGCCATTAATTCGTTTTTTCCCCTTCAAACATCGAAAAGGATAATTTAGTGTCCATTTTAATTAATCTCATCCGTTAAGATTAAATGGATGATACTTATAAAATTACGACTGTTAGAATCCTAAGTGTTTCTGATTGTAGCCAGACAACTTAGGAAATGATTTTGTCATTTGATATTAATTGAAGTTGCTTTACTGCATGTTAATGGCGAACATTTCCTTGTTTCACTTAAGATAACATCAATAAAATGCTGCCAGCGAAATACAACGTCAGAAAGGAGTAGACGTCGTATTTAAAGAGGTTTCTCTCATTAATCCTTTTGTTAATTAAGAGACACGTGTTGCTTGTTTAATTACTATTGTTTCGCCATTGAGTTATGACTTGTTTCACCGCTTATTTTTCTATTTAAAGTCATTGTTAACCCACTTATTAGTCCGAAAATCGTGTTTACAATTATTAGAAAATGTCAAAAATTTATCGACGAATACAAGATTAATTACGATTTGAATTTTTATGCTGAAAATTTCGTATATTTGTATACTAAATTCTTAGTTATTAATTCAAAATTAACCTTTAAATTTCGTGAATAATACAAGTTTATGAGTGCATAACTAAATCTTCGCTGTTTTAAAGTAATAATTTATTAAATTTATTTCGATTTTATAAAATATAATTAAAGTATTTCTAAGAAATTATTTGATAATATATTTTTTTTTCTTTCTTTCTTCTTCTTTTCTTTGTTTAAATCGTAGAAAGGAAAATCTGTAATAGAAGATACTATAGTCAATAAAGGAGGTAGGGGAAGAAGATAAAACTGAATATACAAGAATACGCAACTCAGGAGCTGTAGCGGGACATTCTGTGTTTGTGTCTCTTAATCGTTCCCCTAAAATTCTGTTTCCTTTTTGACTTTCCAACCGCCATTTGGACGTTGACAAAAGCCTAGTCTTGTCTGACACAGTTCCTCCAAAAGTTTACAATAATAGATGTCTTTCAATGGGACTACACAATAGGTGGTCGAACAGCCAATAGCCTTTCAGACAGAGATGTGGATTAAAACGAGGCTGCTGCCGATATTTTACGACATGTGCCGAGTTGGTCTACAGCGTGTTCGACTAGGGGGTAGTCACGTGGTGCGGATCGTCAAGTTACAACGAATATCATGCAATCAAGTGGACAATTGAGGTTAGACATCAGAACTTGTATTTAAATCTTACGTATTAAAATCACCCCGTTTTTACGTCACTTATGTAATAAGTTTTATTGTTCTCGATTATCTTTAAATGTTGTTTTTCCCTTACGTTTCTCTATATTTTTTAATTTCCCGCAGTAATGAGGCGGAAAATATGCTTGTCATTATCTAATATTCTTTAATTTAATATCTTTCTAAACAATTAGAAAGTGTGTTTATCCCGTTTCCAGTTCTATTTTTATTATATTTTTTACACTTAATAAACAATTTTGTACATTAATCAGCTTTAAAACTTAGTTTTCTACACGCTAAACCAGTATAAATGTATGCATTAATTAAGTAATAATTTAAAATTTAAATGTGTAATTTATACTCTTACATACTTTAATAGTTAGAAATTCTCAATTTTTCAGAATTAATCATATAAACTCGACTTTAACTTAAAAAAAAATAAGGAAACTATGTCAAGCCACGGAGATAGATTCAGGCCTAGGCCCGGGCTAATACCTGCTGCTTTTAAGTTTCCAACTTTTCAGGTAAGTTGATGGTTAATTTAGAAAATATTTAAATCTGTAATATAATTTTTTGCCTTTTTACTTTTATAACTTATCAAAATTTAGACGATAAACAAGCAGATAATTTTCGTATAATGTGGATATAATGGTGTTAATATATGATGTTCCCTTGTTCCCGAGATGTAGTGTAAGCTTAATGTTTAGTATGCTAACTGATATAACAATTGAGAAAATTTCTAGGGTATCCATAGATTAAGATATGGTAATTGCCATGTACGAATTTGCAATGGTAATGATGATAAGAGACAGATGTGTAGGCAATTTCGCCTCGACCATCCCCAACCCGTGCTATTTTATGGCTCTTTGTGGATTCGATTCTCGGACATTAGTGACAAGGTGAAAACTGTTGTTGCATAAGATCCCCCTGACAGTTAATAAACTTTGACACAGCTGTTGATGTCCCGTATAGCTAGAAGTGTTTGATAGGTACCTTATTCTGCACCTATTTATACTTTCACTTCTATTTAATATATGTTTTAGGCCCTATACTGATTTTTAGGATTTAAGGAACGATTTTAAGAAGAATTACGAAAGTTTCCTCTCCAAAATTTCTTGAATAAGTTTATTATTTGCTTATTTTACTGAAGGAGAACACTTAACTTGTGGACTCTTCGTCTCTTGCAGTACAGAGAAGTTCTAGTCGCGTGCACGTTGATGAAATCTCACCAATTTTTAGGTGTCTGTGCCTTAAAAAATCTAAATTTTCTTAATTAATATCATTAAAATAGTTGGAAAAATAATAAATAATTAATATAAGTTTCCTAATTTAAATTCTGTAATCAGAAATCGATAGGAGTTTACATTCATAAAATTAAATATTTAATATTATTTTAAGTTTAAATACATTTAAAAAAATTTAAATTAAGTTATTCTTTAAGTTTTAATTCTAATTATAAGGTTAATAAAAATTTCTTTTACTTAATTATAAAAATTTAAAGTATAAAACTTAATTAAAATGTAAAGCGCGAATNATCTCTAATTAATTTATATATTAATACAAATCTGCAATAAATTAATATTCTTTAAGTATAATTATAATATTTCCATATGCAAATTTTTTATTTTGTTTTATAAGAATTAAGTTAAAACACTTTTAATTTGAGTAGATAATCATTAAACTTTGATAATAATAAGCTAATTTGAATTAAATAATATAATTTATAAAGTTTTAATGACGATCTACACCGGAAATTATATATATTAATTAGTTTTTTAAATGGGATAATATAAAATAAATGAGATTTAATTCGGGAATTTGGAAAAAATAAGTGGATGAAACAACCCACTTTCATCACATTTCTTATTTAAAAGAAATTAATTTTTTTTGGAATTACTCCTTTTAAAAAAATTAATGAAAAGAATATTTTTCTGTGTAAGAAACGAGAATTTTGCAAGAAATTTATACTTAAATTATTCACTTAATAAGTTCACAAGCTTAAAAATGATCCTTAATTAGGCAATAAGTAAAGATTCTCTTATGGGATGAGTGAAGTTCATTTTTAAAATTAATTTCCTTTAAGAAACTGTTTAAACAATACAATGCTATCTAACGAAGAAACAAATTTAATTAAGACGTATTTGAAGGAGAATTTTGTAAAATTCAAGTTAATTTTCACCACTTTCTACTAATTATTATAAAAGAATGTCTTTTGTTTCTCCTTTTTAATCTAAGAAAATCAAAGTCGAATACGTGTTGAGAATTTCTAAATGCTTTCTTTAATATTTTATATCGTTCTGTGTATTAACTTCTTTAAAAATATCTTGAAGGATAATTAAGTATATATATTTTTTTATTTTTAATTTGATAAAAACGTTCTGATGCTTAGGAAAAAAGTTTCTTCTTCTTCATCTTCCTCCTCTTTTTGTTTTATATTAATACCTTAATAGCATTGTTTCCTCGATTTAAAATTACATATAAATGATAAGGAAATATATTTTAATATCTTTAAAACTTTATTTTAAAGTAGAAAGATATTACTTTTTTTATATTTTATACCTTTATCTTACATTACTTAATTAAGATTTAAAATATATATAAGTATCAAGAAGGTAGTTATATTTAGTAAGCGATTATAAAACTTTTAATTATTATAATTAAATTTATTTAATTTTTATTAATTTTATGTGAGGAAATGTGAGGTAAAATCTGTGAAATATAATTGAAAAAAAAATTAATTTTAAAGAAGTTTTAACTGTTAAAACTGTTGATTTTTCATTCTTAGTTCTGTTTTGTGTGAAATTCTTTTTATATTTTACACTAAAAATGTCTCAGAAACATTAAATTTAAAGATTAACTCTGATATATTTTAAATAATAAATTGATAAAAGTAATATAATAACTCCGTTTGTGTAAAAATTCTTGCATTACACACCAAAAATACCTCAGAAAAGTTTACTATAAATATAACTTTTATTTTAAATAATAAATTAATTAACTTTATATTATAATATATACATAATTCCCTGTATTGTAAGCCAGAAAAGCCGTAAAAAAAGTTAAATCATAAAGATACTGTAATTTCTATATAATTTAATAATTAAATAATATAACTGCACAATATATTTTATGTGAAAATTCTTACATTTCAAGTCCAAACATGTATCATAAACATTGAATTATAAAACTAATTTTTATATATTTTTAATAATAAACAGATAAAAGTAATACAAATAACTCTATAGTACATTTGATACTATATTTTAAGTTATATTTTTCACTTCATATCAAAAATCTGTCTCAGAAACGTTGAATATAAAGATAATAAATGGATAATTAATTCTATAAGTGTATTTTATGTGAAAATTCTTATATTTCACACCAAAAACGTCCTAGGAAAAGTGAATATACCGAATAATTTCTTATTTATTTTAAGTAATGAATGAATAAAAATAAGATAATTAACTCTATACTGTTTATTTTCGATAGTTTTAATTTATAGTTTGACTTTTTCTGTAATCAGTAGAAGACTTAATGAAAGTGATAGGCCTAAAGTCCACAAAGACATATGAACAATGATTATAAATTATCTGATAGGATTCATCTTTAATTTTTCAATCTTTGATTGCAAGGCGTTCTAATGATGCCTTGTAAGAAATAATCAATTAATTAATTGAGTTAGCAACCTTGCTAAATATAATGGCCTGAAAGTCAATGAGTATCGACTTTCAGAAAAAAAGAAGCCATCATGTTTTATTACAGGACGATTTTGATTTTTTTATATGCCCAAAGACATTAGAAAAAGTCAAAAAATATCAATTAACTGATATTTTTTACAGTAATCGCCATTTCTTTATCTATAATAATCGTTTGATCCTTGGAAAAAACAAGCGAAAAGTAAGTTTATTTGTTAAAAATAATTAAAAAAGTACAATTAAAACTGAAAGATTTTAAATTTAATAATCAATTGTGTGACGTTTACTTGTAATTATTACGTATTAATACGTCACACAATCGTTTACACGTGTTCGAAAAGATGCATTATTGCGTTTTAATTACGTCACAATTACAATTAAAATTCGATTGTTTAACAGATTATTACGTCATAGCGCGGCTTTGTGTTAAAGGAGATTTATTTGTTACATCATAAATGAGATTTTCTCTTGTTATAACAATCAGAAATCGAAAATATAACAATATAACTGTTGCAGACGATTTAAATAAATATGTTGATGTAGATAACATCAAACATAATGTATAATTGTCTTCTTTACACTAAACAATTGCAATTGTTTGGTGAAAAGAAGACAATTAAAGTGAGGTCTTGTTAAACGAAATTTTTATTTTAAATACTTTTAGCATTTTTAAATGTAATTAGATGATTGTTAATTAGTCTATGAATGCTAACACTTACAGAGATTATAATAATACACAAAATTGAAAAATATTCATTTAAAATTTCATTTTAAATTGCAGAAAGATCAGCCGTAAAATAATATCAGGATAAAGAGATTTTCTAATGCAATTTTTGATGCAAAAACTGTAATTATACCAATAATTATGATTTTTATCTATGTAATTTCTTCATTTCCAGAAGAATCATCTTCTTGTCCTCTTCCCCTTCTTCTTATCCTTTTCTTATTGTTTAAGTAAATCAGAATGCTGATGATGATGATGCCTCAAAATTAATTTTTATACTTATTGCATGTCAATAGTTTTATACATATTCAAAAATTTAGCATATTTTTCTTAAATAATTACCAAGATCGTTTGACTTGAACTGTATTGTCTTTTCTAATTGAGTTTTCTGTTAGAAAACCTTAACACATTCACATCTTCCAATTATAAAAGCAAGATTTATAAATTATTAACTTATTTCATAATTATTATTATTATTATTTTATTAAATAAAATACATATATATATTTAATNTAAAAATTAAAAAAAAAACTGCAATAAAGTAATTCACAGATAGTAGAAGTTGAGAAACACCGAAAGATAGAGCGAGAAAAAGTGATTTTAATTAAATTTAGAGAGTATAAAAGTTGTAAAACAATTAAAACGTCATTAAAAAAGTGTATTTAAGTACAGTACATGATGTGCCTACTGTAAATCATTAATTGTTTAAACTACGTTAGGAATAAATATACAGGGTGGCCCAAAAGTTAGTTAATAGATTTTTTACTACGGTTTTATACCAAAGAATATCGCTTAAGAACACTGTAAATTGTGCATTAAACATAAAAGATCTCATCTTAAACAATACAAAATTTGTCAGTAGAAACTACAATTAAGCTAATGGTTAACTAATTTTTTAGCCACCCTTATTATTATTATTTTAAAAATTTATTTCTTCTTTTTTCTAATTTATATAACTTGGAAGATTAAACGCGTCTTAAAATTTATATATAAAATATATTTATATCCGAAAATAAATTAAAAATTTGTATATATTTTAAATCGAAACAACCGTAAAATATTATAATACGTTATAAATTTATATTAATTATTGAAAAAAAACGAGTAAAACCATCAATATCTACGCTACAGAATCTGTTTTAGCTTAATAAAGTTAAAAAATCCTGTCAATTTTACGAAATTTTCATTGATAAAATGGTATTGTGACATAAATTTAGTAGGTGAATATATAGAAATTTCTCTTTGCAGGGTCTATGCGTCGGTGGTTTAGATAGTTCCGCTTACTTAGCTAGTACCATGGCATCGCCAGCTTTAATGGTACTAGCATCAACAGCAGCGGATAACCAATGCCAAAGAACATATTCGGCGGGTCAAGTACTAGATAAAGAATCGCCATTTTCCACTACATCCTTCTCGGGCCGTCCAATGTTTAGTCAGACGGATAGTTATCCGGCACCACTTTTGCCCGTCCATTATCCTCACGGATTGGACAGACAAGTAGGATTCCTCAATCCTACACCAGGAGGGGCCTTCAGGCCCCTATCCATGTCGGACGATAGAGGTTTTCACGGTTCGGCCTTCGTCCCCACACAATGCCTGAAATTAGAGCAGGCCACCGAATCTCAACACCTTGCAATTAGTTCGTGTTACCACAACAGCGAGACTACTACCTTTTTAAGCCCCCCTAGTAGTATCGGAAACACCACTTCTACTATCTCCTCTTTGGGACACTCTAAAGGGGAGTGCGGGCAGGAGAAGGATGTACAGGATCGTTTAACGGATACTCCTCTATCCGAAGCAGAATCTAATGATGGATCCATCCTTGGAGACTTCTCTAGTCTTAAAAGTAAGTAGTTTCTATCTGCTTTGTACAAATTCCTATCTTCGGGAATCTAAAAAATGTACATAATGACGGATGATATATATATATATATTTTTTTTGTTCCGGATGAGATGTCGAATCTTTGTATGGATCGTCGACATCTTTCTAATCTTTTTGTCAAGTTTATTGCTACTTTTAAGTTGTATTTTTTTAAAGAAGCGGTGCTTAAATCAGTTAGAAATTGTTTATTATTTAGTTATAGAATTATTACGAATGATGTTGTTTGTGGAGAGAAAATTAAGTTTTCTAAATTGTATAAAACAATGCATCCTTGTATATAATTTGATTACATATTTCAATATCATCGCGGGTTTCTCGTATTGAAAATTGAGCTGATCTAAAATTTTAATTTAATAAATTAATTAAAATTTCATCATACAATCGATTTATGTTTTATTTAAAATATAGAAAATAGTTTAATTTTTTCTAGAATTTAATTTTATTTATTCAGTGTTTTTCTAGAATGGATTATTACTTCAAATAAAATAAGTTTTCTTAAAGATTTTTAAAAAGAATTTCAGCCTTTTCTGGAAAATCTAATAGGCTATAATAGGCCTACTTTATATTTTATACAGTGTTAATTGTATAAGGTTAACTGCTTATCTTCTGTGTTCTGCACCCACACGAGTGAGATGTTTAAGCTAAGATGCGTGAAGATTTATCATAAAAGATACAATTTCTTATACACAAAATTGTTATATCATTATCCTTATATTTAAGGATACATTTTCATTTACATATAGAATCTACACCGCTTCACACAGGGAAACACGCGAAGCGGTTTAGATACCGTCACACTCTCAACATTAAAATAGCCATTATGTATGGATGATGGATTTAAAAATTGGCAAAATACAATATGGCGAATTGAAGTCACGCTTGTTCCCTGGAGGCTCAAGATAAAAGTTTACACGCGCGACAATACTTTGCTCAATTTGCGACAAGTCAAGCGATTGTAGAGTCCATCTTGCGTCGGGTAATAAACAACAACGTTTGAAAAACATCTCATTCATCACTAAGATTCGTAATACGGAGACTACAATGAAATGATCGGAATTTATTGTTTCCCAAATATCTCATCTGGAGCGTCAGAATGATTGATATCCTGGTATAGTAGGAGGAAATTTGTCAAGAATCTAGTGAGAGGGGAGATTTGGTCAGCGGCTGTTGTATAGCATTTCGTAAAATTCAAGCCACATATATTGGCGGTTTAGTTGTTGAGACCATTAGGATTTCTCTCAGCTTTAAGACCAAGTACAAATCACTATTTGATAAGGCCAACCTCCAGCAGCCATCTGCTTCAACAATAAGCATGCACAAGCGATAGCTAGGAGGCGGCTGGCGTTGATAGGGGAATGAAAAAAAAGGGAAGTAATCTGTACAAGAGGCACTTACCTGGTACAAACATCGATGTGCCCGGATCAAGGTGTCTTATAGGCCAAGCTTGTTGTATCAGGTAATGACATATTGCTCGATATAAAACCGTGCCCAGAATGACTTACAACTTACACTGATAAATGACTATTACATATATACTTCTGTTGTTTTGTTTCCTTAAACCGCCCGAACGAGATGAGAATTTTAAAAGTTGCCTTATATATATTTGGAATGTGTCATATTTTTTTTTTTCATGACTTTCCTTGATGCGCCAGATTTACAAGAATTTTACTTCTTCGTTTCTCGCGCCTTTAAATTACTTTAATTTTGATAAAGTTAAGTAGGATTTTATACAGTTATTAAATTTTATTTAGGTTCTATATCAGTTTAACTTCACTTTTGTATTGGATTATAACTGATTGATTCTAGACTTTTTTTATCAACATGATTGATTACACGAAATCTTCTCTTCCATGTACTGAAACTTGTAACTAGTTTGTATCAACATGGAAAGTAATCCAAATAGATTAACTTATCGAACTTGTATGAAAAGTTTCTTTGTTTTATGTTAAATTAAATTTAATTTTACATATTATTTTAAAACATATTTTAATCTGGAAACATTCTACACGCCAGCAAAGTGTATAATTACAGAGTTTAGTATACAAACCGCTATACTGTATTATAGTACGCACTCTACAAGATTAACTGGACAATCTTTATCAAATGATTTTCAAGTCATGTTAGTGGACAACAGAAGGTCTTTGACCTCAATGTACAATTGGTGGTTAGGGGAAACAGTGAGTAGGCTGGCTCAACACTTCTACTTGAATCGATTGATGATCCTGTTTGTCTTGATTACAAACCATAATGTACGATCCCACGCCACTTATCAATGGTTTGGTCACCAAATCAGATTGTACTCTTCCAAACTAAATCGCTTCTATTATCAAAACGAGTAGGGATTGTAAGACGACTTTTGGACTACTTCATTCTTTCAAGTTTCTTCTGCAATTCAAACGAATCCATTTGGTACGTGCCTTTCGAATGAAACATAAATTGTGAAGTGTTAACATTTACTTATAAACTACAAGCGATAATATTTAATTAAACGGGATTTTAACAGGTGTAGGTGTGGTAAAACTACGAGCTTTGTTTATGTATAAATGAATAGATACAGCTGCTTGTCAATTTGAATCTAAATCAAGTGATGACTTCTTATACAAGCAATTTGACCTTCTAGTAAAAAAAAATCGACGTTTTTTTTCACTTAAAACGTCTTCATTTAACTTTTTTTTCCACTTTTCACTTCATAAATATGTGTAACTTGCTCTAAAAACTCTAGAAACATTGCTTTATAACATATGGCAGAGAGAGATTTTTTTAATTCTCTTATTAAACACCGAAATAAAATCTGAGAAAAATGTCAAAGTATTAAATGTAATGAGACAGATAAGCAGATAAATATATAAAAAAAAATTATTTCCTATCTTTTTTTACTTCTATACAAAGTGGTTGGGTTTTAAAAAAGTAAAAACTGTGCTCATGGCATAATGCCCAGTTACATATCAAAAAGTACAAGTAGGCATCATTAAAAAAGAATTTATTTTTTTTTTAATTTTATATATATATATCTAATGTTCAAACAAATTACAGTCTAGATACTTTTCCTTTTCTATGCAGTGAAATGTGTTTTGTGACCTGTTTACAACGAAAAAAAGCCGTGGTTCCACGCTACGTTCCAACTATCATTTATATCGAAAGATTTTATCGAAAATGTAAACATCCAAGAATGTACTAAGTCTGACACTTTTTCTCACTTTTTAGCCATGCGGTATAAAAGGAAGATGATTATATTTATATACACACGATATATAAATATATTTATATACGATTTTCGCATCATTTTCCACGTCAGACACGATTTATTCTTTATTCCCTCTTCTTAAGAATACTTTTTCGGATTTTTGCCAAAAAAATATTTTCAAAAACTTATAAAATAAGTTCTGTAGTTGCGTATATACGAGAATTTGTCCTAGAAGTAAAGATAGATATTGGTTTCTTTTCCAAGGGAAGGGAATTTTATAAGAAAGGATGGAAAATGTACTTAAAATGGTTATCAATAAAAACGAATTGGAAGTGTGGAACAGGGCAGTTGGGCGATGACAGTGTGACAAGGCTATTAAGCGACACATATCAACAATAGGTGTAACCGGGGTGCTCATAGAAGTAGAACGTTTCCTCTCTCTAGGTGGTGGGACGGATCGCTAACCACTTTGATGCTGGCACTCACTTAGAAGTTAATATGTTTGGTACAGCAGATGTATGACGTCTAATACAATACGCATATATGGAGAAAAGTGTGGTGTGTACAGTCGCGAGGGTACAGTTAGTATATTACGTCGGTTATAATAGGCGTCGGTACAATGTTTGTCCTGGTCCTTCTCACAATAGCACCTTGTCGATAGTAGAGTCGATGATGGTTCTGGTGTTAGATTGATGGTGTCAAAACTCACTCAGACGTATCGGTCGACACAATCTCCGTTTTGTGGTGGAATTGGTGGAAAAAGTTAGGAGAACTACCACTCTCTCTCTCTCTCCCTTTGCCAATTGTAGACCAAGGTCGATCACAGATTTTAGTGATTCACGGATCACTGAATCGTTGCTAATATATCTTATTGAATGATCGTAATTCGTTTAATTGTTGTTAAAAGATATCTTCTTCCGGAATTTCCGTTTTTTAAGTACATAAATCGCCAATAATTCGAACAGATTAGGCACTTTTGAAGAGTTTAATATGTATAAAACATGACGTAATTTTAAAATTTTTACTCGCGAATGGAAAAAGAAAACCATTTGCATTATCGCATTTTCAAAAAGTAAAATTAAAAGCAATTATATTCATTAAAAAATAGAAAGAAGAAAAGATAAAACGCTGGCGAATTTTTTTTTGCAAAAATGGAAAACCATTTGAAAATATAAGGGATTCAATTCTCGACCAATGGATCAAATGGAACGGGGGCAGAACACTTTTATCAGATGACTTTCCCTCCAAACTCCCGCTCGCAAGGCAAAACAGCCTAGCAGATACTATAATGGATTGAAATCTCCGAATCTAATGTCAGAGAAGACAGTTGGGCTATCATTTTCCCATTAGTGGACAGACAATTAATATAGGTCAAGTAGCCTGACCACCGAAGATCCCATTATTGTCATTTTGTCTTTTCTATTTCTTCGGTTGTAGGATTTTTGGGTATTTAACGAAAACAACTTTCTTATCGTTTATCTAATCAAACACTACTTTTTTCCTTTGACTCCTTTCTTTCTAAATTCCAACATCCACGATAATAAACCGGATCTCTGAATTAAATCCTACATAAATTGAATTTCGACAAAGTTGTCCTTACCGTATTCTTTATAATTTTGTTTTCAGAAATTAAAAGAAAGATTCTGGTCGATGGCCAAATTCCATTTTGTCCAGTTTGTGGAATAACGCTGAGGTTACCAGAGTTGTCTACTCACTTTCAATTTGAAGTAGAAAGATTAACAAAAATTAGCAAGTGAGTTAAACTCGTTTTTATATTAAATATTCTTAGAAATGTATCAAAACTATTTTATTTTTATCCCTTTTATCTGAAAAGTTACGTGTCTACATAATTGGAGTTAATACAATTCGATGAGGTTGCGGTTATAAGCCATTGAAAAATATAGAATAAAAAGTATTTTTCATAAATAATTTAATGTTTTCTTAGGATTAAATAGATATATTTTCTATATTCATAAAAGTCTTGTTATGTTTAAAGCCATTATTTTAAAAGGGGGTGCATTGGGAATGCTTTAGACGTATTGTCTTTGAGCGTTATTTTTAATGCAAAATAATCCAATGGAATAAGTTTGTATACTTTTCCCTGTTTCTGTTAACAGAAATCTAAGTCAATCGTCTGAAGATGGATCTACATGCAATAGGGTAAGTCCTTCCCATCCATTAGTGAAATACAAAAAATTCCGGGAAAGGAAAAGTGTGGTTGGCCTTACCCAAACGTACTTGCAACTCCGCGTTAATCCTTTGGGCTGTTTTACGAAGTAATGGAAATGTCTGCATTGTATTGGTTGTTAATGTATGGTCCAAGTAAAGCCTTCGAACGTTTACTTCACTCTAAACACCATTTCCAATCTTCGAATGTTTTTGTGTATACTTCCCCTCTCGCTACTTCACCCCCATCTTCTGCCTTTCTCTCTCGAGTAATCCTCTTTTCCTGACCCGTTTAGTGATTTGAAACCATCACAATGGATATCGGGTGGCGAAAGTGGAACATTGATTTGATATTGCTTTTCCTTTCCTTCCTCTTTGGGCGTTTGTCACTCAAATGAAACTTAAACATATGATTAGACATCCGTAAAGTGTACTACTCTGATTTGTAGACGGGATCACCCGCTGTTTGTAGGAGGAAAGAGGATGAAAAACCAGAAACCAGATGGGAGGTAAGTTTTATTTTTACTTAAAAAAATAATCTTTTAAATTTTTTTTAAAAATAATCCCAAATTCATGTTAATGAGTAAATAAGGCAACTATGAGGATCAATTTTGCTTATATTTAAACTTAAATAACATAAAGTGAGAGGTTAAAAGCTCAGTTAAAAGAGTCTCATACATGCTAAGACGTTTATCTTCATATATTTCACGAATTCATTGATCTATTAAAAAAATTATATTATAAATTTGCCAATTAAACAAGATTAATTTAAATTTTCGCCCTTAAGAAATAGCTACATTTTAAAATGTTATAGAAAAAATTAGGCAAATTATCTTAAAAAATTCTCCCGTGCATCCACATCGTTGAAAAAACAACTATAAAACATTTTAAAGAGCTTAAAAGAAGGGTAATAACTAAATTTCTTGTGGAAAGAGAGAAAAAAATCTGACCAAAATCATTGAATGGAAAGGAGAAAAACAGTAATCGCTTTTCTCAATGAATCCCGGTAACGTTTTATTGAAACTGCATTAAGCTTGTTGCTAGTTTTTCTTCGTTGCTAAAAGGCACGGGTTAATTAAAGAATGAAGTGGCCTTAATACGATCTGCTGCAAATTCCGGCTGACATGACCGTACCTGTCAACAACACGCATATCAAATCTTTCTCATTCATTGCTCTTGCAAAAAGGGAAAAAATGTTCTCTTTCTCTTTTGCAGACCTACCAACGAGTCAAGTCAAACAGACAGAACCGCTTGAGTGGTAAGTATTATTTCCATCACTTTGGTCTCCAATCTTCCGTATTTACATTCAAATTGATAGGAAACCGATGTGCCCCATCTTCCCCCTACTTTTTTCCCTCCCTTATTATTTCTCTCTTTCTTTTTCCCTTCCCTTCCGCTGCAGTTAAACTGATGTAAATTGAATTCCGTTGGATGTTAATGTGTTAGCTGAACAGTGAATCTAAAATGAAAATGTTTATAGATTATACTCGAGAATAAATGAATTCAATCAAATAACTCATTATGTCATTTCTCCATAAAGGAAAAATTTGCTCTTCCAATCTTCGACCTTTTCTTCGCAACTTCTCTTTTTACTTTTAATTACAGAATTAAGTTCCAACAAATTTATTCCCTTTTTAAATATAATTTATTCGATTTTCTTAATCTTTAATATAAGTCGAAATTCACAATTTGCTTAATAAATAGGGAGTATCGTATTGAAATTCTTCTATATTAATCCGCTGTTAGGTGCCGTATAAATTTATTAAAAATGAAAATAAAGCGTTATGCTCTATATTTTAATTAATTTTTATTGCACATTAATGAAAAATTGTAGAATACAGTGCCAAATCTATGTAGTGAAATTTCTTATCTACGCTTCAATTTTGCTAGAGTTGAACAGGATTTATATGGCTTGTACGGGATAAAATTAATAAATGCAACACAGAAAGACTGGGAAGCTTTAAAATTTTTAAATATATGAAATATTTAAGATATAATAAACGTTTTTCGATACACAAAATTCTTAAAAGGAAGTTTAAAAAGCGAAAATATAGCGAGTATCAGCTTCATGATCAGAAGAATAATTCAATCCCTGCCAATACATTGCTTAAATATTATTAAATTCTGTTTCTCATACACTAAATTCTGATAAAATGCCTCTTCGATTTGTTTCCTTGTCTATTTACATAGGTCTAGTAAAATATTTATTATTTTAATTGTAAAAATGAGTATATTTTGTTTATATTTAAGCTCGAGCTTGCAATAATAAGAAAAAGAAGATGAACGATGACGTACCGTGTCCAGTTTGCAATGTTCCTCGTTTGCCTATGGATATGTCCGAACATATGCCCATATGCAACCGCAAAGTAAGTATTTTTCTGTATTTAAATTGACTTATTAACTGAAAAACTCCAAGATTTGTATCATAATCGGTTAAAAATGCAATTAAAATAAATTTTATTAAGGTTAACCAACATTTTCTTGTTTTCTTTTTGTTTATTTAATTCATTTTTTAAAGTTCATTTTCGTTTTTATTTGTTAAATTTGTTTAATGTGAACCTTAATACGAGATTCTCTGAATGAAAAATCGAGAAGAAAATCTTTAGAAATTTAAATATTATACCGTTTATTGCCATTAACGAGCAAAATCAGGAGGATAAAGGGAGAAAATGTGCATGACGTGTTCCTTCTCCGCTTTCAAATGAATCAACATTTATTCAAATCGATTGAGTCGTTCCGGGGGAGCGTCGGTATAGCACCATACTGCTATTTAAGATCATAGGGCAACTGAAAACAACCTGCTACACGTGACCTTTTTTATGACTAATATGTAACCAAATTCAACTTTTCACAAACGTTCTACACATTCTACACTGTTCACAAGCCTAATAACTAGCTTAATTCACGATTAGCTGCTAAACTAGGCCCGTATAAACGTGTAAATTTAATGGAAAATGATTCTACAAACGTGTAAAATGAGGCTTATACCTGTTATTTTTATATATATATAAATTGTTTGAATCATGACATCCAATTGTATAAATGTTCTGTCCGGTAATCAGCCGAGCAGAACCGAATTGGAAAAGATGTCAGAAGACGTATGTTTCCATCGATAATACTCTTCACAACAAAACGATGCGGTCTCTGAACAAAATTGATTTATAGAGCACATCCTTGACATGTGCAAGAGGATGTCAATCTGTCGCCGAAGACATCCAGACATCGGCGACCACCTCCTTTATTCCTAACTTCCTGTAATGGCTTCCTTCTTCAGACAGATCATCGCTCAAAATATCTACGAACTCTGCCAAGGTAGAGTGGATATTGCACTCAACTTTTTTGAATAGAGAAACTTCTCGATCATGCAGTGCCGCATTATAATGCGCATTTAAGTAAACAGTATAAATATTTCTTATAACTCGAATTTCAAACGTATTTTTGATTTCCTAATCTACATATTTAGAGTAAGGATCGTCTTTCCTTTACATAGATGCAGGTCGCGATCTTCAATGACTGTCAGCATAATAATCACACTTAAGTCGGATGACTGGATAATCCGACTTATGAACCGTGAGTAAGAAGGATAATAAGTTGGGGAGTGTTGGGCAAACGTATTTTCTATGTCAAAAGCTGTAAACTACAGTAAAATTATTCTGTTGATTGGTACCAGTAGCGTGTATTGTTAACCACTTCTTAATGTATGACGTGCATCAAGATAGTCAAGTGTGAAAGCATTAATTCTGTTTCATTGTTTAAAGTTATATTTTGCATATAGAAATGATTCGTTGTTAACTTACTATTGAAAGTTACAATTCTAAAATCAAGAAGCAAGCTCAATATAATCAAAAATATTTTGCCAATTCTTTAAGCAGAACTGGCAAAAGAAGTTAATTGAGATCAATAGCGACATTAGAGGGGGCCTGAATTAGAACGTGTAAACCTACATCTCCCCTGTACCATTGTGCGTTTGTCCTGTACACTATTGCCGTGGATAAAGAGTAAACTCTTAGATATTGTACTGCACATACACGTGTGTAGATGCTTTTGTCACATTCAAATCTTTTTTCCTGTAATTATTTGATTTTTTTCTTTCTTCATTTATTTACAAAGATAAGGAGGCCTTAGCCTTTTGGTTTTCTCTGGTTACGCTACTGATTGAGATAGTGATAACATGAATGGATTCGAATTTGAAAATACGAGATATCAATTAAATAAATCATTAAATAGAAAAAAGAATTATCAATTGTCTACCTTGCTGTATTCTTGAAATTTTCTTGATTGAAAGAAATGTATATTTAAATATTCGAATTAATTCGCCCCAGAAAAGTAAGAATAAAACGAGAAAGTGTAGCGTATTTATTAGCAATTATTGCAAACAAATTGTATACTTTATGATATTCTAAGAAATGATAACGAAAACAATGCACTTTACTCCTTACGTTATACATGTATGTGTATATATTATCTATAGGCATAATAATGCACTCTGTATCATAATACAGGGTTCTTAAAAATATTTTAACACTTATATGGAGAAAGTGCATTTTGGTAGGGCTTTTTTTTTGAGGACTTCAAAATCGAGTCCTGACTTCATGCACGTGATATAGAATCACACGCAGGACAATTTCGTAACAAGTTATGTCAACATTAGTGTTAACATCTCATAGATAAATCGTATAATTTATACATATTCATTGTTTTAATAAGGCCAAGCAATAAGACATGCTGCATTTAACTGATAGATGGCTATATTAAAGTACTGTATTACATAATGTATTCATTTATTACATTAACATTCATTCTGTTAATTCGATTATTTAGTTAATAGAATAGGCCTAATGTTTATATAGTACTATAGAGCCTATAAAAGACCTTATTATAGGAATACTCATATAAAAAGTTTCTGACTATGGCCGTTATTCGCAACCAGAGTTAGAACAAATTAACCAATTAACATTTACTTTACTTTTAATACATGAGCGCATATTGGTTAACTTCTAACTCTTGATTCTTAGTTGTGAATACAAGTACTGGATCTAAAATATTGTAGTTAATCCGGAGATTTTTATATGTACAGTACGTTCCTATAATTTGATAATTCGCGAAGTAAAAATTTCGTGTTTAGTGAAATAAAAATGAAATTTAATATAAATAAGATGTACTAAACATATATTTAGAGTATATTTTTATACGAAATCGACTCGAAGCAAAAGTTTAAAGAATTTTTCATATTTAAACCTCCTAGAATATTATAGTTATCGGCCTACATATTAATAAATACAGTCGAATCTCCAATAACGGCCATTTTTTACGTTCCGACGGTCGCCTTTGTTTATAGATTTGACTGTATTTATTTTTAAAAATTAAATATTTCAGTATTGCTTCTTATACAAATTATAAGTTATGCAAATTGTTTTAACATATTCTTTTAATGTCAGAGTCAACTAAAACNTTATGACAGAAAATATTTTTTAGCGTTTATATAAAGCTCGTTAAACTTATTATAAACACACTATTCTATAAATTTAAATAAGATATTAACAAGAAATTATCAAAGATATGCTAATTATTTTACTATTTCATTAATTCACTGTTTATTTTTTTATGAAATTAAATAAATATTAACCTATAATTTATATAAAAATTATTAGGCCTACAATGTTTTTAAAAGTTTTTTAACTAGATAAAAACAGGAGCAAATTCTGTAATAAGATCAAGACTTAATTATAAATAAAACGTATTAAGAGACTTCATTTGTCTCAATTTGAATTAGAAAAACCAGAAATTGCTACGAAGAAACGAAATTTGTAGTCTTTTAAGTTATCCGATGTTATCAAATGGCTGACATTTAAAAAATAGGCCCGGGTAACATTATCTAAAATTCAATTTTTAAGCAGTTTTTGTTCAGTCTTCTTTCCTAATTTGTATACAAGCTTCTAATTCTAAACAATTTCCAACCATAAATTGTAGCTGTAATTTTATATTATTTTAATATAAATTTATATTTTTAGTAACAGAACTATAATTATTTATATTTTAATTAATCAAAACATAAATATTCAATTTGATAAGTAGCTACACATTTAAATACAGTATAGAGATTTACAAAACAAAAATTTATCCTGTTTAATACGTCATCAAAGTTTTAAATTTATATTTATAGAGGTCAGAATAAAAATATTTGATGAATATTTAAAAATTTGATAGGCCTATGAAATTTATATCATAAAATAAAATTAGAGAGTTAATGCTTAGAATTTATAATTTAAGCTTCTCATTCATATCTATGAGATTCAAAATTTAGTAAAACTATTGAGGTCAATTAGGTTTGAATCAAATAAATAGGGCTTAGACTTGTGTCTAAGTCCAGCTCTGTTAATATAACAGACTCTTCTTCTCACCAAATGATACATTAAAAATGTGAGGCCCTAGATATACATTCATAACGCGAGGCCCTTGTTTAGTTTACATATAAATTCGACCTGAGATTGATATGTATTTCCTTTCTAATGTTTATTACTAAAAAAAAATTATTTTAAAAAGTTTATATTGTATAGGCCTATAGATAATTGTATTTTTAATATAACCTATATAATTTTATACATAAAATATAATAATTTTGCAGCAAAATTTTGAAAATTTGATAGAACAACGTCCATTTTAGCGTATTCTTTGAATCGGTGGGAAGATTTCTCCGATAATAGTTTAGATGTACTGTACGGGACGTCATAAAGCCCAGAAGGATAAACAGGGAAAGGACAGGCTCCATAAAATCATAAATCTAACAGAAGTGAATTTGTAAATTAGCCATACATTAACGCGCTCGGTTTAAAATTTATATTCTTTTGATATTAGGCCCTATATTTGATGTAATATTTTAATTTATTAGATCTCTTGTAAAATAGAAAATATTTCAGTTTTAATTATATTTAACAACGCCCTTATATTAACTTTAACTTTGATTTTATAAAATGTAATGATCTTATCGCAAATACATTAATAAGATCATTTATAGGAGGTCTCAGCAGAAATTTGTTATAAAGTATTCACTTCATTAAACTTTTTATGTATTTATAAAACCTTTTATTTTCTGAAAATATAATACAGTTATTAACGCTATTTTTTTTACTACTGGGATATTAAACATGTAAGTTTATGGGTCGCTGATAGGCCTATGTATCTTTCTAAATAATGAATCTAATAAGCAAATACAATGCAATTTGGCTTATTTTTTCAAACTATTTTCCACATAAATTGCGTTTCTTTTAGAAGAATTTTAGGCTTTTACAATAAAATGAAATAGTTGAACGTTTATACATCCGAGTCTAACGTTTACAATGCAAAACAATAGTTCTTAGTTTAAGAAGCAAGAACAATAATATCTAAAAATGCAAATATGTTCAATAAGGAGGAGAATTTCCATATTTCGTTTTATCGAAATAAAAAATTCGCCTTATTAAAATTTACTCTATACGTTTGGCATCTTTACCCAATGCATTCTCATAACAAATATAAGTTCTCGCCTATCAATATAAACAGGAAATATTTGCGAAAGAATTTTCCTTTCAAAATCAAAAAATGACTGCTAAAAATTTATTTTCTTGAATCGTGACATTAAATTTATTATATTTTCTATAATTTATAGAGAAATTTGAATATTACATTAAAATATTTACAGTATATTTATTTATTTATTTATACAGAATGAAGAAAATATGGATGTGGAGAGCACTGATTACGATTGGTCTGATTCTAGACGCTTAAACATCTCCGAAATGAACGGTAAAAATTTTAAAATAATTTTACAGTATATTTATTAATTTTAAATTTTAAAAATTTAAATTTTCTTGACGTAGATAAAGGACAAACCAATCAAGACGACGATAGCCAAGATTTAAACGTTGATTGCGACGATACCGCCACTTACGGTCAACCACAGCATCCTTTTAATTTTTTAATATTTTAGCGAATATTTTTTAAATGAATTATATTATTTTAATTCCTTAATAATAGTTAGATATACGGAAGCTGACGTAGTATCGGCTGAAAGAGAAGAAGAAAGGGAAGTTAATAAAACGACTCAAAAGTAAGTTAAAAGACGATAGATGGAAGCACTATCACATTTAATTCGCATTATATGAAAAATAATATTAATAATATATAAGTCACGTGTTTACTAAAGAAATAATTAAATGTTTACAGAAATGGCTCCACCGCAAATGACTTGTCCACTTGGAATAATAACGAAGGTAGACTTATTATTAAATATATTTATATTATAGAATAATTAATTTAATTTAATTTTCTTACTTTTAGCTCAAGAAATAAGTAGTACGACCGCAGCTACTGACCAAAGGTAGGCTAAATATAGTTATTTTCTAATTTTGCATAGTTTATAAAGTTATATAATACTTATCTTCTATAATATCATTTATATTCGAGTGTTTATCGGTCGTTTATTCAAGTATTTCTCCATACTTAAGCTAATAATGTTAAAGATAAAATCTTATATGGAACTTGTGAGAGAAATCTTGTCCGGGAGGTGAGAAAATGAGATAGCGCCCGGGCCATACTTCCTCTAAAATTATATAAAATATATGAATAAAATAAATAAAAACAGATTTTTTTACCTTGTCAAAGTAAAAATTCATTTATATAACAAAGTATAATTCAAATGTGTATAGAAGTTTAATTTTGAGGGCCTCCGTTCCGAGGCATATTAATTAAATGGCCTGTAAAAATTTAAAGAAGCAATAAAAATCGGGCCCAAATAGCGCCCGATTTTTATTGTTTCTTTAAATTTTTTATATATGAGGAATTCTGGAAATTATCTTTTGATGGCATCTTTATCACTTCGTTTATGCAATTAATTACTATGATAACTAGATTACTGTGTTTCTAGGAGAAAAAAGATTTTTACATCAGTTTTGGCGTAACATTTATTCATTTCTGTCTATATAATCACATAGGCCGATCCCAAACGGCATCACATATGAAAGATAACACGGTATAAATGATATTATAAAAAAATCATTTTAAAATCTCCTACTCGTATCTTTATTTTTAGTTAATTCGTTTATATTTATAATTGGAAGCTGATACACAAACCTTACAGATTTGATAATTTCTCGTATATACATAATTTCTTTTATTTAACTTGTTTGAAAACTATTGTCATAAATTTCTTATCTAGCTTTGTTTATATAATTTGTTGTAGATACATATAGAAACCTTTAATAGGCCTACACATTCAGCTTTGGAAAATATTTGTTTGAAATAAATAAGAAATTAAAAGTGTAGACTTTATTTATTTATTTTTACAATTGAATTAGCGGGCCTACAACCGCTGATTGTAGGCCCGTTTATAGGTCCATTTTAGGCTGTAGTATTGATTTTTTGTGCTTAATTTTGTTACAGACCGCGATTTTCCTTAATTTAAATTACTCTGTAGACGAGAAAGTTAAAATTATTCTATTTAAAATATAATAAAAGTTTCTACGTGTAAATGTAACTCTTAAAGAATGATGCAAGTTCGTTGTTTAACTGCTTAAGGTTTCTTAAGCAATTTCCAATTTTTCAGTTTCTTAACTTACTTAAGAAATTGGAATAGTTTTATTTTACAAGTTCATTATTAAATTATCGCAGGATCAATTTTAAAATTGATAATATGTAATCAGACGGTGTAAAAATGATTTTCCTTATAGAACTTCAGATTGCGAAGATATCAAAGTAAACTGTACAGAAATAGATCTCCAAAAGATTGACGAAACTCTAAGATGTTTCGTATGCATGGTAAGATATTTTAATATTATATCTAAACATTTCTAAATATACTTTTTTAACGATTAAATCGGATTATCTGTTTGTCAGGAAATGTATACCAAACCGGTGGTATCCGTTTGCTGTTGGCACGTCCACTGCGAAGAATGTTGGTTGAAAACATTGGTAGGTGTAAATCGTTTATAAAATATAATTTGAAATTTGAAATTTAATCATTTCGTCTCAGATAAAATTTTATTGCAAGATGATATCCTCTTTTCTCTTAACGCGTGTTTATTATATTCAATTGGTAGAGTATTGTCGAGCTAGCTAACGATAAAGTATCAAGTGATAAATTATGCTTCTAGATAAAGTCAAGGTTTGTCAGTTTTTCTTCTTTTTTACTTTATTAGGGTATGAAGAAACTGTGTCCGCAATGCAGTGGTATAACAGGTGTTAGAGACTTGCGCCGAATCTATCTTTAGTATTGTAACGTTCTCCTAACATAAAAAGTGATTGTATAGATTTGCGTCTTTGTACAGTTATGTAAATGGTGTTGATAATTTCAGGAATAAAGTTTAGAAAGATGTACAGTGACAAAAAGAGTAGGAAAATAGTTGTTTTTCTTGCCCCCGAAACGAATGTTACTTCGGAATTAGTGCTGTTGTTTACTTTTACTTAAACTTTATCCACCAGTTGAAAGTATCGCTCCCACTTCACACCGATGCTTATAAGTCGAGTTTTATCGTGGAATTTTCTTTCAAACTAAGCTTTCCGTATAAGTTTTTCCGGAATAGTAACTACCGCGTGGAATATCCAACAATCCCTACCATTAAAGCTCAATCATTCGTGAACAATTGTTCCACCTTTTTTCACGCATTGCGGAAAAAATCTGTAGATGGAGTTTATTGCGTAGTAAAATCAAAGCCGCGATTATATCGCCATTGAATTTCTCTTCAGTCTGCTACGATATTAAAATACTGTATTTCCTACACATTAAATAGCGACTTCTCAATCTTCTAGTCGGATCCCATCGTAGAGAAAGAAGAAGAAGAAAAAAAGAACACATAAAAACCATGTCGTTTTATTATATAATAAAATATGTCGTTTCTGAAGTGCAGACTGAGCAGAAGGAAAAGTAGCGTTGATGTGAAAATATAGAAATCAAGGCAATTTTGTTTGTCACCGACTAAAAATTACCATCCTATAAAACACCTATTATTATCGAAAGCAAGGTTGGGAAGTGCAAACATAATCCGACCTGTCATGTCCCAATGTATTATCTGACTCAATACACCTTCCATTTTTACTCCCGAATGCGTTGAAGATTTTTTATGTCCCATGCTGTTTATTCGGCTATTTAAACAGCTTTCTTCCCCCTTCTCCATCTCTTCTGATGAGATAATACGCGTTAAACCTCGGACAATAATCTGCCTCTTGTAAATTATATAAACCGAGTAATTCTAATTTTTATTGAATTTTTTTCAAGCGAAATTCGTAATCCTTAATAAGGTTTTACCGCGGTGTCGAATAAAAAGACCCCAGGGCCACATCCTTTTTTTTAAAAAAAACGTTTCAAACGACACTCCAGAGATTTGCCATTTAAAAAACAATCTGTTTGATAACATCAAATGATAATTTTAATAAAATCGTTTATTTTGCAGTCGTAGAAAATTGTCTAAAAATTTATAATTTTTNTCTCCATCAAAAAGTATAGGACTTAATTCTTGGCATAACAAAGAGACTTTTTGAAGTATTTAAAAAATCAATATAAATCAACAAAATATTAGAACTTTAAAACTGAAAAATTGGTCCTGCAGATAATTTTCCGTCACTTTCATTTTGATAACTTTTTTCTTGTTATTTGAAATTTGCAATTTTATCAATTTTCAAATTTTATTTAAATTTTATATTTTATTAGGTATGTTGTAAGATCTATCAGAATTTCAAATAGTTAATTTCAACGCCTTTTCTATTTATGAGTTTAATTTTTTAAAAATTGGAATAAACTTATTTAGTTAAAAATTCGTTGTTTAAATTGAAATTCCAGTTGAATCTAAACATAAAATAAAATTTCAAGAATATCCAATAAGATTTGATTCTAAAGATCTTCAGTCTAAGCTGAGAATGGTGTGCATAATTTAGATTTATAAAACAAATACTATATTATAAACAATATTCTTTATGTATTGAATCATTTCCATTTATAGATTCAATTTATTATACTTTGATGCAAAAATGTGTATTAGTTTAATATATTTTTTATGATAAAATTTATATTATTAACTCTTTAAAAATTAATTTTAAAACTTTTATTAACAATTCCATTACAAAAATAAATCCCATAATATGAAAAATATATTTGATTATATAAACTCTTATATATTAATCTGGTAATATAACAACAATCATTCCTTTTTAAACGACATAATATTTCTTAACATGACAATGAAAAATATACAAATTCTGCAATAAAAGTAATTCTTTAAACATGCAAATAAACAATCTTTGTTTATTCATCAAATATGCAATTTAGCATAATTACTGTATAAATAAATTTACAAATTTTTATGACAAAAATTATTTTAATTCTGTTTTCTATTTTAAAATGAAAAAAGTATAATTCCAGGAATTTGTTTATCAAATTATTTAAGTTAAACACAAATTTAGCAATGTACATTTTTGTATTGACATTTACTTTTATTATGTGGATTTCAACACCTAACATTCTCTCATGCTGACTAAGTTCTATACACAGATATGTATCATTACAAAAATAAAAATCACGCACATGAAAATTATATTTCCAAATAAAAACTCATTGATATTTTGAGATATCTTACAGTTTAGTTCATTTTGAGTGTACATGTAGAAACATACATATGCACTGAAGCAGGCAAATAAAATAGGTTATGTTAAAGTATTACAAATTTTGCTATAAATTGTTTTTATTTTTACACACCAACTAATAATATCTCTACATTTTTATGTAGAAAATATTTTTTCCNATCATATTCGAAGAATGGTTTATATATTTAGTAATAATAGCCATTCGTTTATAGTAGAATTGTTGACAATGGATTGAAAATACGTTTAACTGCAAATGAAATTATTCTAATTATAAAGTTAAAAATGGAGATTTTATTAAAAACGTGAATTATATCCTGTATAATGAAATAAACTATAACAGACTTTGAGTTTACTTATTAATAAAAACGAAAACAAAAAGCATATTATAGCATTTAAACACTTCAACTGAAATAAAAATACATTTTAAATGTAAAATTCTTTAATTTGCGCTTAAATTATTTTTAAAAATTTCAAATAAAAATGTAATTTTGTGTTCTTTTAAGAAAACCACAGAAAATAAAAAGCAAAATATATGTGATCTGGACTAAGAAAAGGTGGTTAATGTAAAAAAACAACTTTATAAATGAGTTTATACATGAATGCATTAGTCAAATTTAACTGATCTACTGTATTCTACCTATTTTATTGTCCTAAGTAATCTCTATAAAAAAAAAATATTACTTTGATTTTTCTTGTTAGAAACTTGAGATATTTCTCTATCTTGTATTTTTTTTTAATAGTTTTCCACTCATTCTTGTTAATTTTCATTTAATTTTTCAACTTATTTTTATTCCCCATCATTAAAAATGTAAAAATTGCAATGCAGCAATTATAGCTAGAGACCTGGAATTGGTTTTATAGAAAAGACTGTAATTTCATTGAAAATTTACCAAAACCTCAATATTGGCATCTCAACAAATTAACCACTTTTCGTAGTCCAGTTTCAAAATAGCATCTAAAACAATCTGAATTGTTGAGTAGAAAATTTACAAAACTTTCAATTTCTTTCCAACATCAACAAAAGCTTGCACTGTCCTTCTAATATCCTCTTCAGAATGAGCAGCAGAAATCTGAACTCTAATTCTTGCTTTTCCTATTAAAATAAATTTAGAAAAAGTTTAAAAATTATCTTTACATTCTTCCACTTAGGATTTAAAATTTATTTTAAGTAAATGAAAATCACTTGATATCAAAATCATTTTCATTAATACATCTTTAGCAATTTAATATCTAATTAATCTAAAATAAAAAATGAAAATAGCTACCTTTAGGAACTACAGGGTAACTAAATCCTATTACATATATTCCTTTATCTGAAATATGAATATTTATTTTTAAAAGTTATATTAATTTTAAACATCTTCATAAATAACTGATACAATTAATTTATTGTAATTCAAACACAAATTATTATTGTATTTATTTTCAGGCACTTGGCAATTTTTATCATCAAATTTTATTTAGTTGATACGTGTTGATATTATTTACACACGTTTTGGGCATTTATTGCCTCTCCTCAGCCAACTTTTTAATTTACAGGTTATCAGGATATTAAAACCACAAATTTCCATCGCCTATGTTTACTTGTTGTTATGGAATTACAAAAACTTCTTGGCCCTTAACACACATTAATCTTGCAGTTTTTCTCTGTAATTGTTGTTGTTTTGTTGACCCTTATCCATTTTTTGATGATTGTTGCTGTTTCAGTTTCGGAATTCTTATTCTGGTACTTTGAAACCGTACTTTGAATTACTACTAATAACTACTAGCACGGTTTCAAAGTACCAGAATAAGAATTCTGAAGCTGAAATGGCAACAATCATCAAAAAATGAATAAGGGTCAACAAAACAACAACAATTACAGAGAAAAACTGCAAGATTAATGTGTGTTAAGGGCCAAGAAGTTTTTGTAATTCCATAACAACAAGTAAACATAGGCGATGGAAATTTGTGGTTTTAATATCCTGATAACCTGTAAATTAAAAAGTTGGCTGAAGAGGGGCAATAAATGCCCAAAATGTGTGTAAATAATATCAACACGTATCAACTAAATAAAATTTGATGATAAAAATTGCCAAGTGCCTGAAAATAAATACAATAATAATTTGTGTTTGAATTACTACTAATAACTACTAGCACGGTTTCAAAGTACCAAAACAATTAATTTAATCAAATCAAATAAATTATTGATCATTAGCTTGAGAAGATTAATACGACATTTTTATATAAATGCATTTAGCAATATTTTCAACAAATTAGAAAATACACTTTTAATCTATTTGTATTTTTTTTTAAATTAATATTTTATACCAAAAATAAAAATTAATTTTGACTATAATTATTAAAAAGAGAAGAAAATTATTTTAACAAAAATATCAGGCATCCCATATAAAACTGGCTCCATTCACCAACTTAAGTAACTGAGAACTGATTATGCAAGTTTCTGTAATGTTTTGTGAATAAAATTAAGTTTTCAAAGAGTTTCTTTTGGGTCTAATTTTATTTTGTTCCATTTGTCCTGTGTTTTCAATATGAAAATTACTATAATTTACTCAATTGATTCTGGGGTCAGTTTTACATTAGACACCATCTAGTTCTATATTTACCTAGCATTTCATCTGCAAATACAGAAGCTAATTTAGCATCTCCTAACATTACAGGACATATAGGATGATTATCTCCCTAAAAAAAAATAAGAAAAAAGCGATTTTAGAGTTAAAATTAAATATGTATTAATCATTTAACTTTGATTCTATACAGCTATATTGAATCCACTTTTCTTCATCTCAGATCTAAACAGTTCTGTATTTCTTGAAACTTTCTCTGTTAGATCTGAACTGGTTAAAAGAATATCAAAGACCTAATATAAGAAAAAAAAAAAAATACTTTTAATTTCAAAAATATCAAATTGTAATAATTAAAAGTATCCAAAATTAACTTTTTACTTTACTAGCACAGGATACAACAGGTGGAGGCAAAGAATTAGAAAAAAGATAAGGTCTAGATCTCTGACGAAGAAGATCAATTAGTTCTCTCTTTGCAGTTGTATAACCACCTGAAAGCAATGGAAAACAATTAATGTGATATAATTATTAAAAATTTTACAGAAACAGAAAAATTAAAAACATTCAAAAATAAATCATAATCTACAAAATTACAATTTATACCTGTAAATTACATTTAAATTTTTTAAATACACTAATTCTATTGCTAAATTATTTTGCATTTTTTTTTTAATATTAAAATGCTTTCTTAATTATATTAATGAATATTCGAAAGTACTAAGAAATGATTATTTTTAATAATAATTCTATTTTTGTATAATTTAAAATAAGCTATGTTTGTGATTTCTGAAAGAAGCTTAAAATATAAATCTATTATTTGATTGTAAAAACCATGTATGTATTTAACTCTAATTATAATTTAACTTTTAAATAAATTCCCCTATAAATTATAACAACTTTATATTTTTTATATAAATTATACAAAAGCATTACATATCATACATATAGTATATATATTTTAATATTGAAGAAAGTTATTTTTTAGATGTTAATAACTAAAAATAACATAAATTTTAAATATTTTTTGTAATATCCACAAATATCCAATAGCATTCCTTGATTATCATAGATAATAGTTAAATGTCAAAATAATGTAGTTTTTACTCTTATTAATCTTTTGATTATTTAGTTATTTGTTATGAATTAAATAATATTTTGTCAGTTTTTAAATTACATAATGATATATTTAACTAATTTTTTACCTGCTGCTCCACCTAAGGCCTTTCCTAATGTTGAGTTAATTATATCAACACGTCCAGGAATTCCAAAATGTTCTTCTGTGCCTCTATTTTAAATCATTATTTGTGAACAAATATCAATTTTGTTGCTATTGATATATCCTTTTTTTTAAATTAAAAATATATAATTCTTACCTCCCAGTTTTCCCAAAAAATCCAGTTGTATGACATTCATCAACAAATACTAAAGCATTATATTTATCAGCTAAGTCACAAATCTGGCTGTAAAACAATTTATTTCAATTATTGATATTATTTAATAATCATAACTTACCATTCATATAATTTAAATTTTAATATTAGTAATTCAAAAAAAATAATGCAATATTTATAAATACAGTAGAATAACAAATAATATTGTATACTTATCTCTAATAACATATATAAAATGGAAAATATATAAAAGTTTATATATACAAATATATAATCTTTTAAATTTCTCTGAAGTTAAACAAAAATATTAAGTGTTGATTAATTTTTATTTTTCATCTCAAAACTAAAATAAAACTGTAATGGGATAATCTATAAATTAAATTGAATCTTTCAGAAACTTATTTTGAGAGTAAATCAGTAACAAATTATATAATATGAGTTTTATATCAGTTTAAGTATTCAATTTAAAAAATTGAAATTAAATATTACAATATATTTACTTTATATTTTTAAAATTCGTTTATAAAATACATGAAATATTCTAATAAAACTGACAGCAAAAAAAATGTATTATAGAGAATACAGCTTAGAATCATAAACAAATCTATTGTTTTTAATTATATTAAATGACGATTTTGTATGTGCTTGTATATATGTGTTTGTATGTGTAAATAAAATCCATCAGAAATCAAAAACTGAATTAATTTAGTTCATAAATCAGTAATAAATATAAATATACAGGGTGTCCACCATGAACCTGACACATTTGTTTTGACTGCCATATCGAAGTGCAAGGCAGTAATCAGATGTTGTGCATTCCATTAGGCAGAGAAACTGTGGAAGTTGTATAGGTAATTTTGTATTTTTATAAATAAGAAAATATTTTGATATCATTAAGATTGGTAACTTTCAAATACAAATGACATACTATTGACAATTTACAAGAGGATTTTAAATATTGTGCTTTTACTAAACTAAATAAAGTATTAAAGTATCCTGAAATTAAAAGTCAATAATTTCTACAAAAACTAAACAAAATTCTTATATGTTCAGCTATCCAAAGAATAAACTATCCAGTTCAAAACTGGATACTTAACAAGGTTTTTCCAGATTCTATAGTTACTAGAAAAATTCCTACTTATATTTTAGTTTATTGTTTACAAACATTTATTTTGATTAGCTTTGATATCATAAATTAAAAAAGGATAATATAATGTAATAAAATAATCTATTAATTTTTATATGAAACTTACATTAAGTAACAAAAATAACCCACACAATAAATATATGCCAATAATTATTGAATCTGAAAAAACTAAGCAATTTTTTCATTATTATTATTTACCTACTGCAAGAAAGCTTAATTTTCATATTCTTGGACATGACAAAAAATTAGATGTATCCATGTAAATTAGTATGAAAATCAGAATGTGCATAAGTTTCCATCATTGCACAAGCAGGCATCATTTACCATTGTTCAATAAAGAAAAATTTCAGATTATAAGCATCATTTAAAAATGAAATGTGGTATTATGTTATTATTGACTATAAGAAGGGCAAATTGATGAATTGAAGTCAGAAAAGTTTTCAAATTGTTAAATTGGTGGATGTTTAAACAGAAGTGAGAGTGTCATAAATAATTATTTAAAAAATCCTAAGTGTTGTTCCAGAAGGCCATGAGCTCTTGATAAATGCTCAACTCATCAAATTATTAGAGCTGCATCAAACTCCAGCAAAATATCTAAAGTAATAAAAGATTATCTTAAAATTATGACTAGTCTGAGAACTATGAAGGACTGAAATCACAGTGTACAAAAAATTCAACAAACCTCCATCAAGTAAAAACTGTCAGGAGGTAAAGTTGCATTTGCAAAAGACTATATGGCATAAACCAACAAATGAAAAGTTATTTTCTTAGATAAAAAAATTTAATCTCAATGGTCAGCTGAATATTATTTTGACAATTTCTGCAAAAAAGATCCAATTTTATCTAAAAGACAGTTGGGTAATGGTTTAGTGATGGTTTGGGGAACAAATGTAACAGAATACAGCACAAATTGCAATTTAAATGCTCAAAGTTGTTTGTGCATGCTGCAACTATTTTTCCACATTTTAATTAAATTATGGCAGAATATGGATGGATTTTCCAGCATAACAATGTCCCTGTTCATACAGATTGAACAGTAGTGATTGAGGACAGAAAGATAGAAGTAATGAAATGAAGCCCTCTCACTGGATTTAAATCCCATAGAGAATGTTTGGGAGATATTAGCACACACCGTTCACAGTAGTCACCCAAAATATAGATAGTAGCAGAACTTAAAACTACTATCATAAATGCATGGGAAAATCTCCATCAAAAAGTATAGGACTTAATTCTTGGCATAACAAAGAGACTTTTTGAAGTATTTAAAAAATCAATATAAATCAACAAAATATTAGAACTTTAAAACTGAAAAATTGGTCCTGCAGATAATTTTCCGTCACTTTCATTTTGATAACTTTTTTCTTGTTATTTGAAATTTGCAATTTGCAAGATAACATTGCTATAATTTCATAAAAATAAATTTTTCTATTTTTTATTTTAAAATCCTATAGTGCAAAATTCTTCTAAATTCTTTTTATCACAGACTATATTTCCAGAATTAATCAATGCAATTCACACCTTGAAAGATGTTTAAACATGCTCTAAATCATAATATATTTGTAAAATACAAAAATAAATTTAAAAAAATATCGATAACAAAATGCATTTTGCTGTCAATGTAAAATTGATTAAAATGAATAGAAGTAAATAAAAGAATTGTTTCAAGCCAGGATTTTTAACTTATTTAAAAAATGAATAAACCAAAAGTATTATCATATGTTGATGCAATAAAATTAATCAGAAGACAGAATGCAAAAAATAAAAAAGTAAACTATAGTTTTTTATACAGAAAAATTTGAGTTTGATTTGCAAATAATTTACATAGAGCTATAACTATTATTTATATTTTTATTATTTAACTGTTTACAAAGCAATTTATAATATTGCTTCTGAAATTTGAAATTTCCTGTTTTTAAAACAGGAAATTTAAGTGAAATGAAACTGAAATTATTCAGATACAATATGTGTTTCATTTTCAAATGATGCAATATCATTTTGAATGATAAGATTAAGATAAAATCATACTTTGATCTATTTAGTTTCTATTTAAATGCATGTATTTCATTAAAAATTAAATATTTTATACTAACTTTGTATTTAAAAAGATTATAAAAACAAAATATTAATTATGTAGTGATTTTTAATTTGAAATAAAATTCAATGTTATAATATTGTTCAATGTTAAATATAAAAAATGAATAGTTATAATTTTTTAGAATTATTTTGAGAATAAATATACCAGAATAATAAGGAATATCATATTATATAACAAAATAAAAATATAATAATGAAAAATCAAAAGAATAAAAATATAACATTGATCATAAAAATTCTTAAAAAGTAATCTAATTTAATATAGACAAATATGTATTATTTTGTAATATGTATATTACAAAATAAACCAAAGAGAATGGTATGTTTTCATTAAACATTATTTAAATAAAAACAAATATATCTTACGGCAATGGTGCAACAGTACCATCCATACTAAATACTCCATCAGTTGCAATTAACCTTTTTTGTGCATCTTTACTTTCTATTAATTTTTGTTCAAGATCTACAAAAATGTTTTACAAAGGTTTTTGTAAAATCCTATATATATATACATACATACATCATATTTTTAAATATTATTCATTTTAATAAGACTAATACAAACCTGACATATCTCTATGCTTGTAGCGAAATTTCTTAGCCTTACAGAGTCGGATTCCATCAATAATGGAAGCATGATTCAATTCATCTGATAGAACTGCATCATTTTCATTCAAAACAACTTCAAACAAACCAGCATTAGCATCAAAACAGCTTGCATACAATATTGTGTCTTCACGGCCATGAAATTTTGAAATCTTTCCCTCCAAGTTTTTGTGCAAATCCTTCAAAATAATAAATATACATTACAATATCATTCACATAAACTTTTGCAATTATATGATAACATCACTATGTTTGAATACCTGTGTTCCACATATAAACCTAACAGAGCTGAGTCCAGCTCCATATTTATCCAAAGCATCTTTACCTGCTCTTACAACATCAGGATGGCTCTAACAGAAAGAAATCATTCTAATGTTAATGAAAACTAGATTAATTAGGCAATATGTGCAAGTATTACCGAAAGTCCTAGATAGTTATTTGCACAAAAGTTCAAAACTTTCTCCGTTCGTCCTTCTACTCCAATAGAACTATCCTGTCTGGTTGTAATAATCCTCTCAGCTTTCCACGTTCCGGCGTTTTTAATAGAAACGAGCTCGTCCGCAATAGCAGGCTGCACAGAAGACCACGTGCTAGTGAATGCAACTCTCACGTTGCAATTTAACAACGATATTCTTCTTATACCTGTAATTATTCAATTCAACAATATAAACAGCACGCCTCAAAATTCACATATGTTATTAAATATTTCCACGTGTTGTCAATATCAAGAATAATCGTTATTAACAATTACCTGAAAATATCATCACGACTTAATGCGAGATTCTCCTTCAGTAAAATGAGATTCGAAAGTGACAATCACACGCTACAATCTAAACACATATCACCCCACAGGAAGTTCTCACAGCACTTCCTCCTCGTACGAAAGCAATGACCGAATAGTTACTAAAATAGTCAACAGATGGAAACTCTTGCAAACAAAAAATTTTGAAGTATAAATCAATTTTTAAATATTTCTTTAAATATGATGATAAATAATATATAAATGACTTCACAATGTATTAATATTATACTTCTAACAGTAAAAATTTAGTTAAAATTATTATTCCACTAACGTAACGATCGACGGTCGGATGGCCGAGTGATTAAAATGGCAGCCTACCACTCCGGGGATCCGGACGGGTCGAAAAATCTTACTAGTCTCTTGACCGGGGAGTAGTCCGTCCGAATATATCGAGTCCCGTTCCTCATCACCTGGCCGAACCCATAATAGGCTTGCTAAAGAAAAGGTCTGGTAACCTAGGACGAAAAGTGTTTTTGAAAAAGCATTACGATCATGGCAGGGCTGGTTTACACTGCGTATCTTTCCAGCCGCGACCTTCGATAACTTCCGATGCCAAATCTACCTGTCGGCCTCATAAATTTTTCCTTGAGTGCTTTCCCATTGTTGTTGTTGGGATCTGTAAAACTGCGTAACGGCATGGCCGCAGATTAAAGAGATGCGGCACGGATTGGCGATGTCATTGTAAACGGTGGATGATCTTTTCTCAGCTGTGCGAATCTCAAAATTGAATGACTAAAAAATACTGTCAAAATTTATTTCAATGGGAAGATGTCAAAGTGGAAATTTCATATGATATACGATAATGTATTATTGTTTAAATAAAATAGATCGCCACATTAAAGGCATAAAATTAAAATCATACTTATAATGTACAAAAATTTTGACATCAACATAAATTTAATGAAAGAAAAACGATCGACTGTTTATTTGTATACGACAGCGCGATACGCAGACGATCTGCCGAGGAGGAAATGCCTCCCGGGCGACTTTCTATGAGAAACTGAAATTTAAGTCTTACAAACATGAAGAAAACCCAGAAAACTCCATGTGACAATGCCGAAGGGCCTCCCCATACTTCGGCACCACGTGACCGAAGGGTCGACATCGCGTCGGCGAAGATCGCAATGACAAGTTTCGTCAGGACTGACACCACTGTGTCTTTACGGACAGACACAGAAACCGTTGTGCTCTCGCGCGAACGATCGCGTGTGTGAGCGAACGGATTCGTAATGGAGGGAGAGATAACGCACCGGAAGTGACTTACACAGAGACGGGTTAACGTAACAACTATTTAATGGGTAATTACAGGCCATACGACATTTCGATTTTAAATATGCTAGCTTTTAGATACATTTCTACGATTGATAGATATTAAATAAATATATCGGATGTTAACGTTTTTGCGATTCCAGAGAGAGAGAGTTTACAGAAGTTGTGCGTGGCGATAAATACTTTGTAGGAAATCTGGATCTGCTGTAAGTCAGTCGAACATAAAAGAAGACAGTACTGGACGACAGTTCTTATTTCCACAGTTCTTAGTTAACTAGATATTAGGCGAGGAGGTATCCAAATATTTTAGCACAGGAAAAATTTGAGTGGTCCGATCGAGGAACTGGTGACGACTCCCCTACTTTGTTGTTCTGTTCTATATTTTGAACTGTTGAAATCGAGATATTAGGTCAAGAGGTGATAAGGAAGCATCGTTGTCAGGCCTGAGAATTTAACAGATGTTTTTCTCCCAGGTGTGAAAGTTGACAGTTATTAAACGAAAGTATAACTACGATGTGATATTATGAACAAATGATGTAAACACACGGAAAGTCTGGATTCGGATCCTCACACTCCACGTGCCCAGCCCGACGCACGAACCCATGACCAGTGTTCAGTGGTTTTAAAATATGATTTGTATCTTTTATTTTTCTTCTTTTTGTGTCGATTCCGGCCATCTTTGGACCACGTACAAACAACTAATTATGACTCGCTTTTCCCTCTTCCCTTCCCTTTGTTCTTCTTTTCTTTCCAATACCTCTTCATTCTCTCGCTCTGCTGTTGTCTTTGCTCCTGAGTCTTCCACATCTGTTATTTTCCTTTTCCTGAAAACCCTTGAAGTTCTTTATTTTGTTTCTAAACCTTTCCCTGTTCTGGATATCTTCTTCAGATATGCCCATTTCTGCCACGTCTTTTCGAGTGTCATTGATACATTGATTCTTATTCTTTAGGTTGTTGAAATACGTAAAAATTTGTTTTGTTAGCTTATTTACCCCATTCTCTTTATATGTTCAAAGCAGCTTTCTCGCCTTCTCCGAATTGTATCCGAGTCTTGAATTTTTTGATAAAGCTCTTTATTGCTCCTTAGAACGTAGTTACCATGTTCATCTATTTTTGGCCCCAGAATTTTTCGAAGGATCTTCCTCTCTTTTTTCTCCATATTTTCTATTTCCCCCATTTTAAGAGTAGCAATACCTTCTGCTGCATAAAGTGCTTGAGGTTTTATCACTGTGTTATAATGTCTAATTTTTGCATTGATGGAGATTGATTTCTTGTAAATGTCTTTGGAAAGTTGATAGGCAATTTCCCAACTTCCGTGTCCTGGCATAATTTGCTGCTTTAGACAACCCATTTGTTTCAATAATTTCTCCAAGATACTTAAATTTTGATACTGTTAATTTCTCCAAAATCCGTTTTTAGTGATTTTGGGGCACCTAAAATATTTGTTATGTTTTGGACGTAGATATTTGTAAGCCTGCTTTCTTCGCAATTTTTCCTAGGAGGTTAATTTGGGTGATGGCTGAGTTCACATCCTTCGCCAAGGCCGCGAAATCATCTGCAAAAGCCAAGCCGTTGATTTTTACTCTTTGTGTTTGGTTCCTAATTTAATTTGATTATTTATCCTAGCTTCTTGTAATGCTTTTTCCCATTCTTGAATGATCTTTTCTAGCACACAGTTAAAGAGTATGGGTGAGAGTTCATCTCCTTGCCGAACTCCAGTTTTGATTTCGAATGGGTCAGAAATTTCCCCAAGGAATTTTACTTTAGATTTAGTATTTGTAAGAGACTGATTAAATTTATCAACTTATCATCTACACCATATTCATTAAGTGTAGCAAACAAGGTTGGTCTATCAATGGAATCATATGCTTTTTTAAAATCTACAAAAGTGACAATATAGTTGTATTTTGTCGTGGTATAATGCCTAATTATAGATTTTAGACTGAAGATTTGTTCCATGCACGACCTACCTTTACGGAAACCTCCCTGATATTCCCCTATGTGAACGCCAACTTGCTTTTCTAGTCTGGTTCTTATTACATCTGATAGAATTTTGTACGTTACTGGGAGAAGAGATATTCCTCGATAGTTATTTGTATCTGTTCTGTCTCCTTTCTTGTGTAGTGGATGGATTAATGCACATTTCCACTCATCAGATATCTTTTCCGTTTCCCAAATTTTTAGAATTACGTTGTGCAGAATTTTTCTTAGGTTTGGACCAGCAATCTTCCACATTTCAGCTACAATACCATCTTCTCCAGACGCTTTATGCTTTTTTAATTTCTGGATTGTTTTTTGTATTTCTTCTAAGTCAGGTGGTGGAGAGCTAACATTTTGGAAACTTAGCCTTTCTTGGGGCTCCTCACAATTCAGAAGTTTTTGAAAATAATTCGCCAACAGTTTGCAGTTCTCGGAGTTGCTTAGCGCTAGTTCCCCATTCTCCTTTTTAAAGCACAGACTGAGAGATTGATACTTTTGTAATTCTTTTTTAAAAGTTTTAAAAGTCTGTTGTGTTATTCTTTTGAAAGGATTCTTCAATGAGTTCTAATTGTTTCCTGTTGTACATCCTTTCGGTATTCCTTAGTATTTTAGCTGTAGACTTTCTAGTTTCTTTGAAGTTCTTATAGTTTTCCTGGGTCTTATTTGAGTATCATTTTCTTCAGGCATGGATTCTATTATCTAAAGCTTCATCATACTCTGCGTTCCACCATCTGTGTTTTCGGGATCTTTTTAGAAAAGCAATTTCCCCAGAGGCATTTGTGATGTTTGTTCCCAATTTTCACTGTCAATGTCCTTGGTCATTTGTCTGAATCTGGAAGACTCTTCCTGAAGTTTTGTTCTATCAATTGACTTGATTTTTTGAGTTTTTCTCGGTAGTTTTCTTCGGGGAATCATTTTGGTTTTTATTTTTATCAAATAGTGATTTGTTTCAAGGTTAATTTTCTTTCTGATCTTGACATTCAAAATTTCTTTTTGATTCTGTTTGGATATTGCCACATGATCTATTTGAAATTCTCCAAGTTCCGGATTGGGGATCTCCATGTTTTCTGTTTCCTTGGAAGTTTTTTGAAATTTGTAGACGTTAGTTTGAGGTTGAAAGCCTTACAGAGCTCAATTAATCTCAGGCCATTTTGGTTTGTTCTTTTGTGTGCAGGATACGTGCCCACAATATTCCGAATTGATTTTTCTTTCCCTATCTGTGCATTGAAATCACCCACAAGAATTTTGACATTTTCATGAGGGATTTTGCTTATTTCATCCTCCAACTGTTCCCCGAACTGCTCCACTTTATTGGGATTCTTCCAGTTATCTTCATTGGTGCATGACAGTTGATCAACGTGTATGACTTGTTTGCACATTTAAAAGTTAAAAGTGATAGTCTGCCCGATGGGGATTGAAATTTCGTAATCGAGTTCACTATTGTTCTATGTACGCAGAATGCCGTACCAAGATGGGGTGTTCCTCATTATTCTTTTACCGGGTTTCCCTTTGAAGTACCTGTAGTTCTCTGAATCGGTTATGTTGACATCTGTAAACCTTGTTTCTTGTATTGCTAGGATTAGGATGTTTTTCTCTCCTAACATTTGGTTAAGTTGCTTTAGTTTACCCACTTTAAGCATCGAGTTAACATTTAGTGTTCCAAAGAAGTATGTCACCTTCGGTTTGATTTTAGGGTTTTGAATATGCTCCAATTTGTTTTCGCAAGGTGTTTTGGGCTCTCCAGAATCCTCAGACCCAGTTGCGTTGCCTATGACAACGGTGGATTTTCCTTTAAGGTTACCACCGGGAGTAGTTTTACTTTTGAACTTTTCCATCATGCATAATTGTTTGGAATTTAAGTTTGGGGAAACAAAAACAGATGTTTTGTTTCAATGCTACAACTAAGATTGTAAGTCCTAGAGGATTGTAATCAGCCGCTCCTGACATGGAGAACCGACGCTGACCCGAGTACCGCTCGATACGAGAACCGTCGTATCTGGATCTAAATTCATCTTGGAAAAGGACTCTTCCGCCATCACTGCCGTTGGGACTGTTGTCCTCGTCCGTCACCGATGTCGTTGGTCCTCTTCGTCTGTGACCCTAGACAGGGGCCCTCACAGAGTGCTATCATCCGGAGTCAGATGAACACAGGTTTTTTAACGTGGTGTTACTCCTCCCCCTCCTCCTTCTCCATCCCTTGCGCGATGGAGCTCCGGGCTTGGGACCGGCATTGGTGTTTTCTATTTTTATTATTTATTAAAAAAATTTTTTCTATCGAACAAAAAGCTTTTGTGTGTGTTGCATTCTGTACTCGTGTGGCCAAAACAAATCTACATTGGAATATATACACACAGAATCAACACTTGATTTCTTAGTGTTTGGAATTATAAGATATGGAGAACTTTATTAAAGAAGTCGACGATGGTTCGTTGTAAGAAAAGTTGAAGTTTACTTAGGAGGATTATGTGAAATTTTCAGAATTTTGAGTTGTAATAAATACAGATGAATATTTTCTCGCATAAAAATTTCAATGGAAAGCGCTTTCCATTGAAATTTTTTCAAATGATTTAATTCCCTCTCAGATCCTTCATATAAAAATCACGATTTACAAAACTTCAAGTGTTTGCTTGTTCAGTACTTATTGTACTTGTGCTTATAGTACTTATTGAAACGAAGCTTCTTCTATAAGGTTTACAGAATTGTGTTCGTTCTCAAAATCCGTTCGATAGTTTTTGATCAAACTTTGCTATTTTCCATTAATTGCGACGCGGAATCCAAAAATGCAATAGAAAAATGGAGATATAAGGTCGTTTCACAAGTGCGCTCGACAAAGCGATGTTTCACGATCGCTAGCACGTATGAGCTTATAGAACGGATTTAAAATTTAAACGGATCGATTTTGATATTGAATGATATCGATTTTGAATGAAAAAATCAAAATTTAACGGATCGATTTTGATAAAACTTTGCCATTTTCCATTAGTTGAGACGAGGAATCCAGAAATGTAATGTGGGTCCATTTAAATGTAAAAATTCCAGCAACGAATCACTTCACTTTCCTGGCAACATTTAAAATTCTGATAGTGCTTTCTGTTAAAAAACTGTTTACATGTTTAATTATTATAAAATGGCAAAAAGTTTAATTTTGAGAGTAGGGATGGGTTTATATAAAAAAAATTGTAAATGCTAATAACGAGTAAAATTGTTATTAAGTCCGATTCTACTCGAGATACGACACACGACCACCCTTTATCACCCGTCGACTTTAAACCACTAACATTTAATAGCATGAATCTTTCTAATACACAAATCTTCCTGCAAAATTTCAGAAATTTTCGAAAGCATAGGAGTTATTAAGTTTCAAAGAGGATAACAAAATCGTGCTACCCACAAACACTAACATCCATACATACAGAAAAAAAACTCTGAATGTTTCTCCACGTTTCAAGTTCCCCTACGTCCAAAAATGTAAAAATCTTGGAGAAGGGTCATTTTTGACCGATCGCCGTACTTTCCCTTTGTTATATGCTAGCAGATCCTGCCACGCGTTGTTGTGACTCAAAATGTATCTATTATAAATGTATAACACTTCCCCCGTGGGGGGATTTTTCGAAAAATCCTTTCTTAGTGTACAGTACATTCTCTTGACGTGCCCTATTAAGGCCCTGTACACACTAGGCGTTTTTCAACGCGCGTTTAACGCCGAGCTAACGCGCGTTAGCTCGGCGTTCGACGAGCGTTAGTTCGGCGTTTAGCACTGGCTCAGTTTGGAAATGGACGAGAAAGTAATTGATTGTGTGTGCTCCTCCATCGTCGCTATAAGGCAGCACATATATCTCAAAGCGCCCATAAAGTGCCCGCAAAACGCGCGTTTTAACAAAAATCTATAAACGCGCATTTAACGCGCGCTTGGCGTTTGAGTGTGTACGGCTACATAGAACTCTTGGTTGTTTAAAACGCGCGTTGAAAAACGCCTAGTGTGTACAGAGCCTAAAACGCAATGAAAAATGCAAAAAACCGCATCTAAAATAGTATAAATAGAAGCAGAATTCTTTACGGTAAGTCTTAAATCCTTAGCGGCCGGATGGCCGAGAAATCAAGCTGGCAGCCTACTGCTCTGGGGGACCCGGGTTCGAATCCGAACGGGTCGAAAAATCCCCAGGAATTTTTCGGGGGTGGTCCGTTCGGATATGTCGGGCCCCGTCCCTCACCACCCGGCAGCCCCATTGTGGGCCTGGCCGAACCCATAATGGGCTTGCAAAAAGAGGCTCTCTTAGTGCCCACAGGGCGGAAAGTGTTTTAAAAAAAAGATATGAAGTCGTGTACTTTCATTTGTCGCTTTTTTCCTTAAGCAAATGTCGGTAGCAGATCGCATCCAAAACGATTCGTTTTGCTTTTGCTCCTTTCAAAATCTGAATCATTCGTTACAATTTCACCAACGATTTCGGTTATCGTAACCAAACTTTTACTGACTTGTAAGGAAATATGTAGAGAAATTTTTGGGGTTCTTCGTCTTCAAAATCTATTTTCCAGTTCTACATGAATTCCTTGTTCTGCCAGTTCTTGAAGGTCGTTGGTTAGGCTCTCACCGGAAATCTGCAGTAACTCTTCAATATCCTTCTCATCTACATCTTGTTGTCCTGCTGTAACGATTAAGTTGACAATTTGGTCAACCTAATGATACAGTGATAGGCTCTTCTCATTAGAATTCATGAATACCTTCGGCCATAACTTCTTTCACACTTCCTTCGAACATTTATCAGTTAATTCTTGCCAAGCGAAGTCGATATTTCCTATAGCATCCATGATGTTATATTTTTTTCCAAAATTGCACCAAACAAACAGATTTAAAGAAAGTACACCTTTTTACCACCTTTTGCTGATTGGTTCGTGTTCGTAAATAATTGGCTTCGAGCAGACCGCGTTATATCGAATCAGCGTTAAGCAGGATCTTACTGTAATGTGGTCACGTTCTAGGAATTTAAGCATCAACACATCAGATACATTCAGAAAATAATAGCCAGCTGAATATAAATTTTCTTAAAGAACCTAAATGTTTCCAATCCATGCTTACAGGGGTTAAAATGAGAATGAGATGATGGATCTGTCTCACTGTCAGTTTCACACAGAGACAAGTTGTCCCCTTCAGCAAATAATGTTATATGTTTGGGAAGAATTTCATTGGTACCACTTTACCATCATTTAATGCTTCAGGTATCAAATTTATAATTTTTAAGATTCATATATCCATTTAGCACACAAACACAGTAGAGCAGGAAATGCAAACAGGTGGCTCACAGGCCACACACACAGCCCATTAAAGCTTAATATCCAGTCTGCAACCTTGATTTATTTTCTAAAAATCAATACTGTATTTCCAACATCTGGTGAGAATTAAACAGAAAAAATTCAAACTTCTACTGTAATTGTTTACATAAGTCATAAAGGCTTGGATATGAAAATTTTAATTTTTGAATATTTATAATTTATGATGTATCACAATTCTTCTTGAACTGAAAGGTAATTCTTCTTTCCTTTCAATGGTAATAATAATTGAAACATGTTATTTCCATTAACTGTTCAGAGGTAGGTAAGGCAGAGATTGATTCAAATGAATCTTCTGTAGATTATTTAAAATTAATTAATACACTAACTTCATTTTACATCCATGTATCCAAACTGCTTTAAAAATTTAATGGTTATTTTTAGATTCATTAAAAGCATTTTGAACAAATCAATTCATTTAAAAACTTACATTTATATTATACAATGTTAAAAATAAGGATTTTAATACAAACAAGACTGTTTTTCTATTTGTTTAAAAAAAAATTCCAGACAAATCATCATTTAATTCTTTATTAAGGAAAGATCCAATACAGAAAAAATTTAGAAAGCTACAAAAGAAATTTATAAGAATGAAAAACTTGTCACTCCAAATAACAATACTGGACATAATTTTTTTAGTCACCGTATTGTGAAATTTACTAACTGACAATCACTTATTATTAATTTATGTTGCAATTTTTCTTTATAAAACATAAATTAGAAAGTAAGATTTGAACAAAATCAGAATAAATTACTTTGGCTACAAAACTGACAAAATTTTTTTAAATCAAAAATATATTTAAAATTTTCTACACTTCTATTTAAAACAACATAATTGTAGTCAAAGATCAGTATTATACTACATAAATTTTAATAAAATACTAAAGATCTTACTGATAAAAATCAATGAACAAATTTTCACTATCAACTGTACAATATATTGATATAATACATTTTAAAACACAATTTTTTATTTTTGATAATTATAGTACATAAAAAATTTAAAATTGTTTTTTTTTCTTGTTATTTTGCTATTTTAATCATTTCTTTTTAAATAATATTTACAATCTGTCTTTCTCGTAAAATAATTTACAGTATCGGATGGGTTTAATACCTGAATCATTTCCAATTCAAGTGAAATATATAAGAATTATAGAAGCAGTTAATTTACATAATAAAAAATACAATTCAGAATTTGAGTATTATCTGTACAATCTTCAACGTTCTATATTTTCATTTTTACATGTTATATATGAACGAAATTATTTTGTCAATATAATTTGAATAAAAATTTTACTGTACTGTACATCTTAATTATGTGGAAATATACTTTGATATATTTTTAATACTGGCAACTTCTCAAATATTTCATTTGACAAAGATATAAACTTTTATCTGTACATTTGTATGTTATTTTTTCTTTTGTACATGAACTTGTACTTAATCTTTGGCCATTTGTTATATTTATTTATACTCTGAAAGGAGTTGACTAAAAAGTCCTTTTTTTTCTAAATATCCAGAAGCAATTGTTACAGCTTTTAAATGTATTTCCTGAGATATATGCCAGTGAATTTTGTATTATCTAAGATACGGTATATTTGAATATAAATTTTATAAATTCAAGATTCGAAATGACTTCATGTGGCAAAAGTGAGCGACAACATCCATGATAAATCATGGCAAAAGACAGAAAGTTATAATACCATTTCTTAATTTAGATTAAATTTAGAAATAAGTTGGTTAAAATTATAAGATAGGAAAAAAAGAAAGAAAGATAAAAGAAGAATGAAGATATTTACGATCCACTGAATACAGCTCTTCATTTCTTGTCTGAATCACTAATGGAGGAAAAAAAAAATGTATGTTTAGAAAAGTTAATTGTTATTCTATGTAAGAATTAATTAAATAATAATTTAAGTAGTTCTATATATAATTGTACTGTACATTCAAATATAAAATATTTAATTTGTTCAAATTTCATAATCAAATAAATGAAATAATGATATTCAATCTATCCACACATTTTTTGTCAAATTCAGTAATGATTATTGATAAAATTCTTAACTTCTGATTTAATAATATATTTACTTGTACATTTAGCCACAAGTTTTTTTAGAAAGCAAAGTTAAAGAAAACTAAATTTATCTTTAAATTTCATACCAAGTAGCATTGTTCATATTGCTTCAGTTGTTAACAGTAAATTTCAAAAACATAACACTAAATAAATTCTATTATATATGCTGAAAAATATGCCAGCAATGATATATACAAATACATAGGTGAAGACAATAACACAACACATTTTCTGATTTAGAGAAAACATAATGTAAACAATTATTAAATATATGCAAACTGGAAATGTCCATACACTAAGGCAAAAAGTTCCAAATTCAAAAATTATACAGATAATTGTACAACTGAAAAAAACTGTTCTTTACAATACATAATAAAACACAGATGTAATTAAATAAAGTATCTTTTTTACCTCATTTACATTTTAAACATCTTCAGTCATTACAAAAATAAGACTATTAATGTTCTAATTATCTTTTGAATATAATTAAATTTAAATGAGGCAAAGTATTTTATTAACTACTTGTTTTATATCCTCAATCTGTTTTATAAAGATCAATTTTTAAGAGAATATGCTTCAATGAGTTAAAAATTACTTTTATGAGCATGCTAATTGGCTAATCTAATTTTCAGAAATTAACAAATTTATGTTTAATTGTTGGAGAAGCAGAAAATTCAAAGTACAGAGTTAAAGAGTGACTGAGACCAATTATATATAATATTTATAAAAAACTTTTACTTCAGATTTATAAATAAATTTATTCTTTACTCCATTTTAATTATACAAAAGCAATAAACTATTCTTAGAAAAGAAGTCCAACTTTTAATAATAAGCTCAGAAAGGTAATAGTAGATTAAAAAAAAAATTCCAAAGACAAAAATGTCTTTAGAACCTAACATATCATCATTATCCAACTCAACTATGTCAAAATTGAATTTATGTTCTAATCAGAGTTCTAATACCATATTTTTTAAAACAGTCATATGTAAACTGCAGCCTATGATACTTGATGCCAACACCACAATTTCTCTATTGTAACATTTAATTACAAATTTGAAAAGAAGTTTACATATTTGAATTTAAATATGACTTCTCCTTACTCTTCAATGATTAAATATCACAAAATTGATTGACTCTTAATTCTGAAATATATTCTTACATCTACAATTACCTTCAGTGTATACAAATGAATATAATATGCACATGAAATAATTGGTTGAAATATGAATAGAACTCCCAATTGATTGCTATGCAATCTAACTTTCAAATACTATATTCATTTGGTATATATATTCAAATAGTATATTTATATTGTAAATAAGAATATTTAACTTGCTCTAAGTTGAACCTATACTAATATGAACACTACTTAATCCAAATCAATTTTGTTTCTTTTTTTATTAAATGTTCCAGCTCAAAATAAAAATAAAATAAACCTTAAATTTATTAAAAATATGAAGAATTTGTAAAATTAACAAATATTAACATTTTAATATCAACATTGTATGTACCAAATACAGTACCATTTCTTTTTAAATAATATTTACAATCTGTCTTTCTCGTAAAATAATTTACAGTATCGGATGGGTTTAATACCTGAATCATTTCCAATTCAAGTGAAATATATAAGAATTATAGAAGCAGTTAATTTACATANGAATATAAAAAAAAAAAAAAATACTTTAGGAGTTAATCTAGTATCAAAAACGTTCGATTCAGCATGACACACAGTCCTCAGAAACACCACACAAAAGTGCCAGTGCTGCCAGCTAAAACACATACACAAACATAAAAAGTATTGGAGTAGCCCAAGACATTGCCAAAGATTGCAGCGCCACAGCACTAGTGAAAATTTAAATTTGCCAACTGGAATTCTTTCGGATAACCAACTTTTGGATAAACGACGCTCTACTGTATAAATTTTTTAGACATTTGTCTGTAGTGCTTTTTGATCTCTCATTTATATATAATCCTATTAATCCAAACTAACAATAGTGCACTGTACTTCAAAACTAACTAAAATTGTTATATTGGCAATATAATTTTGATAATCTTTCATATTGTTGCAAAATAATAAATAAGTTAAGTAGAAATATTTATTATAAATTATATGAATATTTAAATGTTTAAAAATATATTTCAAAAATTACCTCAAATTTCCACATTGTGGATATACTTTGTTGTCCTTTTTCTCTTCATGCAACAATCTTGCAAACTTGTTGAAAGCTCTTCATTATAAAAGGTATTTTGACTAGAATCTAATTCTTCTTGTTTTACAGTTTGTTTTATTTCTACAGATTCAAGCTTTTTAGTTTCATTTTCATTTAAACATAAAGGAAAATCAACTCTAACTAAGCATTCAGAACCATCAAATTTTTTGGGTTCTGGTTCTTTAGTTTCTACCACAGAATTAGAATGGAAAGATAATGTCAAACCACAACAACATCCAGGATCTTCAGAACAAAATAAAGGAAAACGTTTCTTATAGCTGCCAAAAGTTTGTTGCGATTCTGGGGAGTATTTATCATAGTCTCCAGAATCACAAATGTAAAGATTATCATCAGACAATGCATCGTCTTTATTTTCATTTTGCCATGACGATGGCGTATCACTTTGACAACAACATTCCAAATCACAAGTGCTGTTTCTATCTCCGACACTAAAAAATCCAGATTCTCCGGATGCACGACGTTGTTTGGCACTTGTTTTATTGCGATAAACTATAGCTTCTTCAGATAAATTTGGAGGCACTAATATGTTATTGACTTGAGCTTGTTCTTCTGAATGATAAATTTTCTGAATAGGAGATTTTGATTTATCACCTTTGGATTTATTCTGGACGGAACTAAAACTGAGTAAGCTATCTTGATCTACTGGCGAAAGGGATGAAGATGGTGAATAAGGTTGGTCCAAAGAATACATCATTGGTTCATCTGATGGGTCAGGTAGTTGAAATAAAGCTTTGCATAATGTTGGTGAAGAAGGCAATGAATGTGAAAATTGATGATTAATTCCTTTATCTCTATTCTCAATTGATTTTCTCTTTGAATTCCTTGATTTTTGTTGATTTTCATCTTTAAATGAAGGAGAAGAAAACTGAAAGGAACAAGAATGAGCAAGTTCTTGATCTCCCTCATGATTATTGGTTTCTAAAATCTTTTTCCTGTTCCAAAATCGAGGTAGGGAAGCAAAAGGATTTTGTAAATTATTGTTAGGTTTATAATCAGGATCACGTAATGACATGACTTCGCCAATATGCTTTGGTGTAACTGGTTTCACTGATAGTTCATCAACTGGCTTTTTCATTATAGGAATTGTGCTGTAGGATCTAACACGCAATGGTAATTCATCTTTATCTTTACACAAATGATCAACAGTCAATGAAGGTACTGAAGCTCGATGTGTCCAACGATGGACAACTGTAAATACAATATTTATAACTTTAAAAAGAACTACTTTAGCATTAGCACTAATCAAAATTCTCACATCTAGTATAAAACATGTTAAGAATTTTTTAATTGAAATAATGTTGATCATCATGTGACCACTTATTTGTCCATTTGAGCTTAATTGAAGCTTGTTTAAATTATATAATACTTCACACATTCATTGGAATTTTGCTCAAAAATTATTAATTAAAATTGTTTAATTATAAAAAATGTTTGTTATGTAAAAATTATTAACAGTATAAAATTTTGATAGTTATGAAAAAATTTAATTGAAACCTCAAATTTGTCTTGTATAAGAATAAACTTAACAATTCACATGAACATTATATGTTAATGAATCACTTAATTATTATTATTCAAATTGTGTTAGAAAATATAATTTCTAACACAAAGTTAGAAAAATTGATTATAATTTATACATAGCTTACATATTGCTTGAACACTATCAAAATTATCGGCTTCATCAGTTCCAGATGTGTATGATGATACCTGATTGATTAAACAATTTTGATGATATTGATTGAACATTAAAGCTTCTAACTGATTAACAATGTCTTTGAAAGAGGGACGGCTCCTTGGATCAATCTATAAGTAAATTTTCAAAATTTACATTTTATTGCAATAAAATGTTACAGATTACAGACTATATTATAAAATTTTGTTTTGGATCTAAATGTATGCAATGATAAAAATCAAAGAATCTATATCAAGTCATTGAAGAAATATGTATNTATGATACTTACTCTCTCATCATACCATTCTCCACGTAAACACTCTGGTGCCATCCAATAAGGTGAACCAACTATCGGAAGCCTTTGACTTCTCTCTCTTAATATAAATTATATTATTATTATTACAATAAATAAATATAAGTTGCTTTTTACAAAAAATTAATAATTTTATTATTAGGTATTAATAAATTCAATAATTTTATATTGTAATATAAATGTAATTTATATTTAGTAATTACTGTATTATAAAATACTTTAAAATAATTCATAATTTAAACTAATTCAAACACTTCAATATATTGATCACTTCAGTTTAAACATTAATATATGAATCCACAACTGTTGCTTATTTTGTGAAACAGGAGAAAAAATTTTCAAAATTTGTGAAATTGGCATATTAACTTCTAATTTTGCAAATTACATAGATTTTTTTGAATTCACAAAATAGGCAATTCAAAATTAGCCTATTTTGTGAAATCACATTTTATATTTTCGATTAGATAGAGATACTTGTTTTTCTCATTGAATCAACCTAGAAAATTGGCTTCTAACTTAAAGATTACTTGATATTTCCTAATGTTTATATAAAATAGATTTATATATTCTAGGGTTTTAAAATTTTAAATCAAACATATAAGAATGGAAATGATGTCTCATTTAGTTATGGTTTCAGAAGAAAAATGACAGAAAGTAGAATTACAATATAAATAGTTTTTAGTCAATGATTATTTTATCACTTTTTAATTTTGATATTAAATATTGTGTAAATAATAAACAATTAACTTATCAATTGCATAATTAATTATGATGGTATAATTTTCTTAAATTAATGAAATATTCTAGAACAAAGACAACTTAAGATTCAATACTGAGTTGGATGTTTGTTACAATTTAAACAATTTTACATTAGTTAAGCATTACATCAATGTTAATTATATGATTAAGACTGAAGCATATACTTATAGCAAAACTTCAAAATTAGAATTGCCAAAATAACAGTAAATGAAAATGAAACAAAATGAAAGGCTCTCCAAAATACACAAGTTCACAGATTTACTACAATGCTGTAATAGTGTCACTTGGAGTAATTGCCTACTTTGTAAACTTGGTAAAAATATCGTCAAATTTGTGAAATTGGCACATCAACTGCCATTTCACAAATTCTGCAAATTTTTGCCTATTTCACAAAATAAGCAACATTTATAAATGTTGAAATAAATATGTACACGTTATTCATTTAAATGCTTTTATATTATGTTAATACTGAATATAGACATTTATTGATTGTTCATTGTCAATATAAGTGTCATATTTTACATTATAAATTACTTTTTACAAATTACAAAAGTGAATGTTTTATAATATCTGATTTCAGCAGCACTTATTATTTCAAAAAGTTTTAACATAAATACCAAATTTTTCATATTACATATGCATATACAACATGAAAAATTTGACAGTGATCAGTTTTTCATACCATTTCCAATAAAAATGTAACATTAATCTTAACAGTCATTATTTTTAAAATAAATTAGTTTATTGAGATTAATTATAATGAAAGATTATATCATTTTAAAAATCATTGCATTACAATTATGTAAAATATTGTTTGAAACAAGCCTTATGACTGTACTGATTGTAAATTTATATTCCTGATCTTTGAGATAATGCCAAGTTTAAAATAAAAATAATCATTAGCATTTTCTTCTTAATGGAGGAAGTGAATGCATTCATTGAAAATATACAGCAAATGTTACTATTATAGCTTTGATAATGAATATTACAACAATATTACATTTCTAGTTATACACCATTTAAAATTAATAATAATAAATGCTTCATATCATAAAATAAATTATATATAAGTGTAAAGATTAAATGATTAATAGCTTCTTAACCTAACAATAAAAATAACTCTTATAGAATTTAATAGTCAATTTTAAATCTGACTATTACAAAACTTTAAACCCGATCACTTTCCAAATTATATTTCTGGTTAAAAAATAATAATATTTAAGATGTTAATTATCACTTATTGATCTTATGTTTAATATAACTGAAGTCATTTACTTCAAATATCCAACTAAATTTAGTTCCATTAACAAAATTTGACTATTTTCTTATTTAAATTGATAATGTTTGATAAAATTGATAAATTGATAAGCATTTTTATTTCAACAAATTTTAAATCCTGAAATAAAGCTATTTATTTAAATAATATTAATTTAAAGAAATGTTCTATACTATAGATTCATAAGAAATCATCATTAAAGTAAAATCCTAATCCTAATTTTTTAGATTGAATAATAAATTGGAAATTAATACTGCATATTTTTAAAATTGATAAATGCAAATGATAATTTCTAACTTAGTGCTAATTTCAGAATATCATTACTGAAATTCATAGTATTATTGGCACTTATGCAACACATGATATGGAAACCCACAGACTGAACAAATTCCACTGTTATTTTCTGTATGATGATTCATAATATTCATCAACCTACTTATACAAAATAAAACTTGTTTAAAATAATTATTAATAGTGCTTGGTTAAATTTATTTTAAGAAAAGCAAAGAGGATGTTGGCAACAGTTTCTAAAATTATATAAATAATTTTATTATTAGGTATTAATAAATTCAATAATTTTATATTGTAATATAAATGTAATTTATATTTAGTAATTACTGTATTATAAAATACTTTAAAATAATTCATAATTTAAACTAATTCAAACACTTCAATATATTGATCACTTCAGTTTAAACATTAATATATGAATCCACAACTGTTGCTTATTTTGTGAAACAGGAGAAAAAATTTTCAAAATTTGTGAAATTGGCATATTAACTTCTAATTTTGCAAATTACATAGATTTTTTTGAATTCACAAAATAGGCAATTCAAAATTAGCCTATTTTGTGAAATCACATTTTATATTTTCGATTAGATAGAGATACTTGTTTTTCTCATTGAATCAACCTAGAAAATTGGCTTCTCACTTAAAGATTACTTGATATTTCCTAATGTTTATATAAAATAGATTTATATATTCTAGGGTTTTAAAATTTTAAATCAAACATATAAGAATGGAAATGATGTCTCATTTAGTTATGGTTTCAGAAGAAAAATGACAGAAAGTAGAATTACAATATAAATAGTTTTTAGTCAATGATTATTTTATCACTTTTTAATTTTGATATTAAATATTGTGTAAATAATAAACAATTAACTTATCAATTGCATAATTAATTATGATGGTATAATTTTCTTAAATTAATGAAATATTCTAGAACAAAGACAACTTAAGATTCAATACTGAGTTGGATGTTTGTTACAATTTAAACAATTTTACATTAGTTAAGCATTACATCAATGTTAATTATATGATTAAGACTGAAGCATATACTTATAGCAAAACTTCAAAATTAGAATTGCCAAAATAACAGTAAATGAAAATGAAACAAAATGAAAGGCTCTCCAAAATACACAAGTTCACAGATTTACTACAATGCTGTAATAGTGTCACTTGGAGTAATTGCCTACTTTGTAAACTTGGTAAAAATATCGTCAAATTTGTGAAATTGGCACATCAACTGCCATTTCACAAATTCTGCAAATTTTTGCCTATTTCACAAAATAAGCAACATTTATAAATGTTGAAATAAATATGTACACGTTATTCATTTAAATGCTTTTATATTATGTTAATACTGAATATAGACATTTATTGATTGTTCATTGTCAATATAAGTGTCATATTTTACATTATAAATTACTTTTTACAAATTACAAAAGTGAATGTTTTATAATATCTGATTTCAGCAGCACTTATTATTTCAAAAAGTTTTAACATAAATACCAAATTTTTCATATTACATATGCATATACAACATGAAAAATTTGACAGTGATCAGTTTTTCATACCATTTCCAATAAAAATGTAACATTAATCTTAACAGTCATTATTTTTAAAATAAATTAGTTTATTGAGATTAATTATAATGAAAGATTATATCATTTTAAAAATCATTGCATTACAATTATGTAAAATATTGTTTGAAACAAGCCTTATGACTGTACTGATTGTAAATTTATATTCCTGATCTTTGAGATAATGCCAAGTTTAAAATAAAAATAATCATTAGCATTTTCTTCTTAATGGAGGAAGTGAATGCATTCATTGAAAATATACAGCAAATGTTACTATTATAGCTTTGATAATGAATATTACAACAATATTACATTTCTAGTTATACACCATTTAAAATTAATAATAATAAATGCTTCATATCATAAAATAAATTATATATAAGTGTAAAGATTAAATGATTAATAGCTTCTTAACCTAACAATAAAAATAACTCTTATAGAATTTAATAGTCAATTTTAAATCTGACTATTACAAAACTTTAAACCCGATCACATTCCAAATTATATTTCTGGTTAAAAAATAATAATATTTAAGATGTTAATTATCACTTATTGATCTTATGTTTAATATAACTGAAGTCATTTACTTCAAANGCAGGTAGATGGACATTTTCTTCATATATCTGCTGTAGCTTTTTGTGAATTTCTGCTTTGTCTGTTTTCAACAGCACCAAAAATTTTATGACACTAATATTCTATCTGCATCTCCATTTTTCAACTGAGACAAATTTTAAAACAATATTACTATATCTGTGTGTGCAAATCCAACATCCATTGTGTAATAATTTCTTCATATTATTAGCTATTTAAATTAAATTTTTTGTTAGTGCTACTTCTGTACAATTAATTGTGTGCATTAAAAGTTAAACAACAATCATTTTAAAGAAATCTCACATAACACTGTAAATTCCAAAACAGTAATCTGTTGAGTTTTATATTTTAATTTTTATCTAATGAGTTTTATGATTGAAATTAATATTTTCTTGTTATATATTGTAATCAATTTCCTCTTCTCACTATGTAACAAAAGCAATGGATAATATTATGATCTACACTGTTCATCAAGACCTCAATAGAAAAGATGTAATATAAATTGTAAAATATATCTAGTGTAATAATGTTTCTTCATTTATTAATGCATCTTCTCTTTAATTCTGAAAATTAATTTTATTTCATATAATCCCAAAAGTAATTTGTTTGATAAATAATAGTTTGATCTTTTAGTTTTTTTGTACAAATTAAAAATTTGAATTACTATTTAATCTTCAATATTTTAAAGTAACATTTACCTTGGATCAGGAATTTTTTCTGCTAAACCAAAATCACCTACAACTGCTATCATCTCTAAGCCTTCTTTTTTAATTAAGACATTCTGCAAAAATTATTTGTTTTAACAATGATTTTTTAAAAAATGAAACTTTTAATATAAANAAAACATCTGGCAACACCAGAAGCAGAAGCGTCGAGATCTGGCAAAATTGAAACAATTTTCGCAAAGGACCATGTGTATGGAGACGAGAAAAGAAAATTTACACACTGAAGTACTAATAGTTCACGAAAATAATAATTTTCGTGAACTATTAATACTTAAGTACGTAAAAATTTATTACATTTCATGTTGTACGAGGGTTTTACCCATTTCTCGAACCATGTCAGAGTGAATCCGTGCTATAGAAGTGCCGTGTTATACAGGGGATGGTACCAATTCTCGAACCGTGTTAGAGTGAATCCGTGCTATAGAAGTGCCGTGTTATACGGGGGTTACCTGTACTATTTTTTTAAACTAAATATTATCACCAAGTGTCCAGCAACTAGTTCTATATAGCTTNTTTATTACATTTCATGTTGTACGAGGGTTTTACCCATTTCTCGAACCATGTCAGAGTGAATCCGTGCTATAGAAGTGCCGTGTTATACGGGGGTTACCTGTACTATTTTTTTAAACTAAATATTATCACCAAGTGTCTAGCAACTAGTTCTATATAGCTTTTGTCAACAAAGAATAATTGGCACAATCATTCTTTGTTAATGTTAAAATGAAAAATAGTAGTAAACTGAATCTCCAAATTTTGACAGATACCATGTTTTAAACTTCAAACAATCATATGTATATGCTTTTACTTGTATTAATAAACAAAAACTGTTTAATCTTAAAAGTGCATTTAAAATTAAAAAGAACACTATTTTGTTTGTTTTTATTGTAAAATGATGTAAATAAAAGAATTTCATATTTACTATTTTTAATAATACTTATATATTTATTTTATTAAGTTACATCTACTGACAAGTGTATAGCATTATTACATTGGCTAACTAATGAATCAGATCTATGTTTTAGTCTTTTAAGCCACACAGATCTAAAAGACCAAAAATCTTGAAAATATCTGTATTATTGTTCATTATATCTATCTTTTATTATAAATATTCATTATACTATATAAAAAGAATCAAACATTTATATCTTACTCTGCAACAACTAAATGCTAATGTAAGAAAATTAGGAGGGCAATCTGGACACATTTCACTGAAGGCAACATAATCTACTCCAAAATTCTGTAATATAAATTTAAAATGATTTAGATATGAATTTAGCATCAATTAAACATGAAATCTGTTATATTTATAACTAATTTTACCTCTGTACGTGGAAGTATATCTGGATCAGCTTCTATCCTAGCTATTATTTCACACAAAATAATTCCGTATGAAAAAATATCTGCCTGGAAAATAAAAAGGAAGGAAACTTTATTGTTTTAAATTGTTTAAAACAAATTATTCGTATTTAAGTTACATTTTATTTAGTATAAATGGAAATTTAAACATCTATAAAAAATGTAGAAATTTTTGTATTTTTTTAATGAAAAATCAATCTATCTATTAATTTGATATATTTAATTTATGTGAAAGTAAATCAATATTTTTAAAAATATTTATTTAACGATAATAATTCCATAACAAATTCACACATTTTAAATGAAAAAAATTATTATTATTATTTTATTAAAAAGTAACTGTGTTTAGAAGTTTTGATTCATATTCAATTATTAAACAATTTTTTACTACTACTTTAGATCACAAAAACAGTTTCAAAACTGTAATTTAAATTCTTATTTGAAACTTTTTATATTGTTTACAAAAAAAATTTAATTCATAATTAAACTAAGTAAGCAAGCTATTAACAACACAATATTAAAATTCAGAAATCATCATCCATTCTTGATGAACTTAAATATATGAATAATATGCTAATTTTCTTATAAAAATTTAAAAAAAATTGAAATTTATTTATTTGAAACTTATATAAAAATAGCAGAACTGTTGTTCAGTATAGTCGATTTAACAGCTATGAATATATTCTTATTGAAGTGTGTAATAAGTTCATGATGAAAGAAAGAGTACTTTCAAATTAATTTGATAGAAGCTAATTATTTAATTTAAATAAAATTATTTATGACAGATTAGTCAATAATTTTTTTAAACAAAAAGTAAAAAAAAAAAAATTAGTTAGATAGTCATATGATACTTACTCTCTCATCATACCATTCTCCACGTAAACACTCTGGTGCCATCCAATAAGGTGAACCAACTATCGGAAGCCTTTGACTTCTCTCTCTTAATATAAATTATATTATTATTATTACAATAAATAAATATAAGTTGCTTTTTACAAAAAATTAATAATTTTATTATTAGGTATTAATAAATTCAATAATTTTATATTGTAATATAAATGTAATTTATATTTAGTAATTACTGTATTATAAAATACTTTAAAATAATTCATAATTTAAACTAATTCAAACACTTCAATATATTGATCACTTCAGTTTAAACATTAATATATGAATCCACAACTGTTGCTTATTTTGTGAAACAGGAGAAAAAATTTTCAAAATTTGTGAAATTGGCATATTAACTTCTAATTTTGCAAATTACATAGATTTTTTTGAATTCACAAAATAGGCAATTCAAAATTAGCCTATTTTGTGAAATCACATTTTATATTTTCGATTAGATAGAGATACTTGTTTTTCTCATTGAATCAACCTAGAAAATTGGCTTCTAACTTAAAGATTACTTGATATTTCCTAATGTTTATATAAAATAGATTTATATATTCTAGGGTTTTAAAATTTTAAATCAAACATATAAGAATGGAAATGATGTCTCATTTAGTTATGGTTTCAGAAGAAAAATGACAGAAAGTAGAATTACAATATAAATAGTTTTTAGTCAATGATTATTTTATCACTTTTTAATTTTGATATTAAATATTGTGTAAATAATAAACAATTAACTTATCAATTGCATAATTAATTATGATGGTATAATTTTCTTAAATTAATGAAATATTCTAGAACAAAGACAACTTAAGATTCAATACTGAGTTGGATGTTTGTTACAATTTAAACAATTTTACATTAGTTAAGCATTACATCAATGTTAATTATATGATTAAGACTGAAGCATATACTTATAGCAAAACTTCAAAATTAGAATTGCCAAAATAACAGTAAATGAAAATGAAACAAAATGAAAGGCTCTCCAAAATACACAAGTTCACAGATTTACTACAATGCTGTAATAGTGTCACTTGGAGTAATTGCCTACTTTGTAAACTTGGTAAAAATATCGTCAAATTTGTGAAATTGGCACATCAACTGCCATTTCACAAATTCTGCAAATTTTTGCCTATTTCACAAAATAAGCAACATTTATAAATGTTGAAATAAATATGTACACGTTATTCATTTAAATGCTTTTATATTATGTTAATACTGAATATAGACATTTATTGATTGTTCATTGTCAATATAAGTGTCATATTTTACATTATAAATTACTTTTTACAAATTACAAAAGTGAATGTTTTATAATATCTGATTTCAGCAGCACTTATTATTTCAAAAAGTTTTAACATAAATACCAAATTTTTCATATTACATATGCATATACAACATGAAAAATTTGACAGTGATCAGTTTTTCATACCATTTCCAATAAAAATGTAACATTAATCTTAACAGTCATTATTTTTAAAATAAATTAGTTTATTGAGATTAATTATAATGAAAGATTATATCATTTTAAAAATCATTGCATTACAATTATGTAAAATATTGTTTGAAACAAGCCTTATGACTGTACTGATTGTAAATTTATATTCCTGATCTTTGAGATAATGCCAAGTTTAAAATAAAAATAATCATTAGCATTTTCTTCTTAATGGAGGAAGTGAATGCATTCATTGAAAATATACAGCAAATGTTACTATTATAGCTTTGATAATGAATATTACAACAATATTACATTTCTAGTTATACACCATTTAAAATTAATAATAATAAATGCTTCATATCATAAAATAAATTATATATAAGTGTAAAGATTAAATGATTAATAGCTTCTTAACCTAACAATAAAAATAACTCTTATAGAATTTAATAGTCAATTTTAAATCTGACTATTACAAAACTTTAAACCCGATCACTTTCCAAATTATATTTCTGGTTAAAAAATAATAATATTTAAGATGTTAATTATCACTTATTGATCTTATGTTTAATATAACTGAAGTCATTTACTTCAAATATCCAACTAAATTTAGTTCCATTAACAAAATTTGACTATTTTCTTATTTAAATTGATAATGTTTGATAAAATTGATAAATTGATAAGCATTTTTATTTCAACAAATTTTAAATCCTGAAATAAAGCTATTTATTTAAATAATATTAATTTAAAGAAATGTTCTATACTATAGATTCATAAGAAATCATCATTAAAGTAAAATCCTAATCCTAATTTTTTAGATTGAATAATAAATTGGAAATTAATACTGCATATTTTTAAAATTGATAAATGCAAATGATAATTTCTAACTTAGTGCTAATTTCAGAATATCATTACTGAAATTCATAGTATTATTGGCACTTATGCAACACATGATATGGAAACCCACAGACTGAACAAATTCCACTGTTATTTTCTGTATGATGATTCATAATATTCATCAACCTACTTATACAAAATAAAACTTGTTTAAAATAATTATTAATAGTGCTTGGTTAAATTTATTTTAAGAAAAGCAAAGAGGATGTTGGCAACAGTTTCTAAAATTATATATTTTTCAAAAATAACTTATTTCTCTATGGAAAGAAAAACAAAATTTAAAAATCAATTTGGAAAAAACAGAGAAAAACAAAACACTTTTAACTTCATTTAATTATAAATCATCTTAAGTTTTAATTAAACATATCTTGAAATGTAAAATATATTTCATGATATGTTTTATATGATTTATTGTTAATATTTGTTTATAAAAATTCATATAAAACATTGTATTAATGAAAAAAAGTTAAAATGTTTAATACACACATTTATGTAAATGATAATTTTACATTAAAATAATTCTCAGAATAATAAATGTATTCAGCTTTTTTTTATTTTTTTGGTTAATAAAAAAAATATTAAAAATTATTAATTGTGTGCATTAAAAGTTAAACAACAATCATTTTAAAGAAATCTCACATAACACTGTAAATTCCAAAACAGTAATCTGTTGAGTTTTATATTTTAATTTTTATCTAATGAGTTTTATGATTGAAATTAATATTTTCTTGTTATATATTGTAATCAATTTCCTCTTCTCACTATGTAACAAAAGCAATGGATAATATTATGATCTACACTGTTCATCAAGACCTCAATAGAAAAGATGTAATATAAATTGTAAAATATATCTAGTGTAATAATGTTTCTTCATTTATTAATGCATCTTCTCTTTAATTCTGAAAATTAATTTTATTTCATATAATCCCAAAAGTAATTTGTTTGATAAATAATAGTTTGATCTTTTAGTTTTTTTGTACAAATTAAAAATTTGAATTACTATTTAATCTTCAATATTTTAAAGTAACATTTACCTTGGATCAGGAATTTTTTCTGCTAAACCAAAATCACCTACAACTGCTATCATCTCTAAGCCTTCTTTTTTAATTAAGACATTCTGCAAAAATTATTTGTTTTAACAATGATTTTTTAAAAAATGAAACTTTTAATATAAATTTCATATATTTAAAACATGATAAAATAATCATATATTATTAATAAAATTTAATAAGTATTATTATAAAGTTGCAATATCAGCAAATGGCTTTATTCTGTTAAGGAAGTTGAAAATAAATTGTTAAATCATTAAAACAGAGAATATATTTAATTTTTCTTATAATTTCTTCTACATTTTAATAATTTTATAGTCATGTTAAGTGAAACAATTACTCCTGATGTTTGTATACAAACACATTAACATATCATAATAAGTTTAGAGATTTGAATTAGTTCTCTTCTGTCTTTAACCCTGTTCATTTTCAGTTTTATCAAAAACTGGAGTCAAATAATGCCAAAAAACATTTATATTTTTAATAAATTCTGTTATTTCTTGAATTATTCCATCCAAAAGAGCTGTAAAATGTTAAGACCACTTTGCTCTACAGCAGGTGTGGCCAAACTTTTATCCCTTAGGGGCTACTTTTTTGGTAAAATATAGTCTGCAGGCAACTATGAATATGGGCAAACAATTTTAGGATTTTTATATGTGCATGCGTTAACATTCATTTGCATTGTTCATCGGGATAAATACAAACAGTATAGGTGCACAGACAGTCTATTATTGTAAGAATAAATTATCGAATTAAGATTTTTAAACATTAATTTAAGTGAAAGCAAATTGTTCAACTTTAGCTTCATAGACTACTTTCAAAACCTTTGCGGTTGACCGCAAAGGTTTACATGTTGGCCAAGTCTATGTGTTGGCCATCCCTGCTCTACAGACTTTCTCCAGTGGCAGACATCATCTTCAAACATCTTTTTGAAGAATGTTGGAGGAATAATGCTCAGAAATTTGATCACTTCTTCCTTCAGTTCATCAAATGATGAAAAGTGTCATGCAGCCAGGTGTTTCTTCAACTCTTAGAACAGAGAAAAGTCACTAGGAGTGAGATTAAGACTGTTTAGATGTGAGAGTTCTTGAAATTTTCAATGTTCAACTTTTGCATTTGTGACATGGCTGGTGTGGACAGATGCATTGTTGTAAAGGAAAATAAAGGGAGCACCTCTCTGATTTTTTATGTAATTTGCAGACCTCACTTGCCAGTTCAAAGTAATAGTTCCTGTTCATTGTGTTACTTTTGTCAAGGAAATCAATCTTGATGACTCTGTGTGGTCTCAGAATGATCATGGATACTTACTTGTGACACATTCCACTTTGGAGTTTTGAGATTGGGTTCATCTGGAAATCTCCACTCTGAAGAGGTACACTTACTTTTGGAAACATATAAATTCAACAGTTAAGTCTTCAATACTGATGTACTAATGTTTTTGTTGAATTCATAGCAATATTTGTCAAGCAATTGAAGTTTGGTGGAGCAACAGTGAAAATTATGTTCATATATTTTCATGGTGAAAAACTTTGGAACAAAGCAGGAGCAGAGCTACCAAATTTCCATTTCCTGCATAACAGCATGGGTTAAAGGACCCATGCTGTTATGCAGGGTCCTGTTATGCAGGGAAAATGTCCATCTACTGCGCAGCAGGTAGATGGACATTTTCTTCATATATCTGCTGTAGCTTTTTGTGAATTTCTGCTTTGTCTGTTTTCAACAGCACCAAAAATTTTATGACACTAATATTCTATCTGCATCTCCATTTTTCAACTGAGACAAATTTTAAAACAATATTACTATATCTGTGTGTGCAAATCCAACATCCATTGTGTAATAATTTCTTCATATTATTAGCTATTTAAATTAAATTTTTTGTTAGTGCTACTTCTGTACATCTTGGAGACTAAAAGGACTTATTGATCCAACTATAGAAATTATTAAATATTTTTGCAATTTCATTTAATTTGTATAGTTTTAAATGTTTTAAAATACATATACTGTACATTCAAATAGCAACCACAGTTTACCATCCAATAGTATTTTATGCATTCCACATTAATCTTTTTTGTAGTTTCAAAGCTCATGAGATATAATTCTGTTTTTAGAAAATCACTAATTAAATATATTTTTTGACATGATAAAAATTAAATGATTAGGGTCATGAATAGATACTAATTAATAAATATCAAATTCTTTATAATCTAAAATAAATTATTTAATACAGATTAAATATTTTTTATACTAAATAAATGTTCAAATTGAATAATGCAATACCTTAGAAGTAAGATCACGATGAAATACTCCTCGAGAATGTAAATAACATAATCCTCTGGCAATGTCCAAAGCTAATCTGATACGCACGGACCATGGCAATTCTTCTTGTTTATTTAACAATAGTTGTTCTAAGCTGCCACCATTGATGTACTGAAATAAAGAAAAACCTTCAATAATTTAGAAACTAATAAATAATGATCTAATTGTACAATAAAAATTTATAATTGTTTAATCCAATGAATATATTCTCCATATTATTGTAATACTGAATTATTAATTCTTTTATTTATTTAATTTTCCATGGTTTAATATAAAAAAAGGGTTCATGGAAATTTCACAAAAACTATTTAGCTGTGATTAGAAATATAAATATATAAGCAAATTAGATGAGCAATAATATGTTTTGAATTTAGAATTACTTTTTTTTTACTATTTGGAAGATAAATGCAGACAAATTAAGATTCTAACTAGGAACTTATTTTTGGCAAGAAGAATCAGTAATACTAATGACAAAACAGATATAATAGTGCCAACTTATCTGCTAGCATAATTCAAGCTACATAATGAAACAATTGTATTTGTCTTCTTTTTAGTCCACATAACATATTTCTTATAAGAATTATTAGAACAGCAGCATCTACAATCAACAGTTTGTCATATATACACAGTAATTTATAAAGCTAAACTTTATTCCAAAAATAATATTGTTAATATCAAATGAAGTTGTAAATCAAAAATAATTAACAAAATAAAAGGATTTTGTTGCATAGTAAATTAAGAGAGCAAAAATTCTGATGACAGTATCAAGAAAACTGTGAATGAAAATGAAGAGAGATATTTAAAAAAGAAAACAGTTCTATCATTATAAAAATTTGAACATATTTATTCTAATTTATCATTGATAAAATCATTTTCAGAGCTGAATGTCAAGAATGTAAATATACATAAATTTTACGATTCTATTAGGTTTCAATCCATTATTTAACTAATTATATCTAGATTCACAACCAAGGATCAAGAGTTGGAGTTAGAAATTAACAAACTACCATTTGCTTTACTTTTCATGGATGTTTATTGGTTAATTTCTAACTCTAACACTTGATCCTTCCTCGATTGTGAATACAGATCTTAACACTGCTGGCCCAAGCAAACTCAGTGCCCTAGGCAAATGACTTTGACATCACCCCAAGAGTATCTAATTTTTATTCAATATGCAGCATACAATATCACGATCATGAGACTATGACGCTACTTTCAAAATGGCGACTCAGGGGGTCAACACTGTAAGGAAGAATTGTGATCAAAAAACATTTATTTTTTCATTATTTATTGTAATTTATGCATGTACTTTCACTATGCCGCCCCCCCCGAATTCAAGCACCCTAGGCCATCACCTAGTTCACCTATAAGAACGGGCCAGCCCTGGATCTTCATAATGTACACAAATTAGTATATTGAGATTAATTTTTTCTTTTTATTCAAAAAATGATAAAACAACAATTTTTATACATACAAATATCATTTGCTATCTTCAGATATACAATACTGAAGTTTAAAATTGAAAATTATCTGTGTACCTTTTATATTTCATTTTCCAAAAACATTTCTTTACTGACAAATACTGAATTATTTTTCTGGACTAGAATGAATTTGAAAAGTTTCCAGCTGATGATACTGCATGCATCAGATACACATACATGTGTAGATAAGTTTATTATTCCAATATGTGATTAAAAATATTTATAGTTATAGTAAAATACTATTAATTAAATTATTAGAGAATTCTATAAATAGAAATCAGTTTTTAAATTAACTGTGTATACAGTTTCCTGTTTAAAGTTTCTGAGAAAAAGTTTTATTATAAAAATTATGTAGTAATCCTTCCTTCCAGGATGTATTTCAGTGTTTATTTTCTCATTAGTAACATGTTAATAGAACATGTATAATCTCAGTTGACGAGTAAAACATTACTAAAACTATCCAATCAGTTATCAGATATACAGCATATAATAAGTAAATCTAGAATGAATGACTATTATGGACTAAACATTGAATTCTAACTCTTGGATACTTATTTATCTGAGTATTTGGGATCTAGATAAACTTAGGTAACAGGTATACAATTATATTCAAGATAACTGAATACTTGAATACCTACAAGTACTCTTTAAAAAGTCCATATTATAATACAATGATGTCAAAAAAATACAGCAAAGAAAATTGTACATTATGAAATTATTAAATATTTACATTAAATTAATCTATATAGTTTTTTAATTGAGCATATTTTCTAACAAATTATTTTCAATTACTACAAAAACCAATTTTACAAATATAAACTTCAATCAAAAACTTTTTAAAACCACTGAACAAAAGTTTAATACTGTATTATATAAAAAAATATTTTCTTAATTATCAACCATATCTGTAAAATTTTAATGGTTTTGATGAAAGAAGAAAAAAGTATTTTTTTTAATTACAAAGACAAAATCAAAATATTAATAATTCATACCTGCTAAAATGACTAATTTCAAGACTACTATGAATTTTCATGAAAAAATATATTGGATAGTATTCAGGACTGAAATATGTAAACTGAGAGTAAAGAAAGCAATGAACAATAATTACAATAACAAATATAAAAAAATAGTCTGTTTGACAGTATGCAAAATTATTTCTTATTGTAACAACGGATTGTAGGATTTTAGAATATACAAAGTTCAATATTGTGTTATTTAAAAATTTAAATTTTTAATAAAAAAATTAAAATGACATACATAACAAGCACACCCCTAGCAAACATTTCACAAAACATAACTTTTTGACAGAAAGAAAAATTCTTCTTTTCTAAGTGAAATGAAAAATATTAATAAAAATCGGTATCTTGAACAAATGGACGGAACTCGACAAAATTTGATATGTAGGTTGGGGAAAAAAAATAGCTGATGACAATAATACTCATATTTTGTCTAGATGATGCCTATATCTTTTTAATAAAATGTGAATTAGAATAGAGAGAAAGTGTTCTAATACGGATCTCCATTCTTCCAATCTCACACCCACCACAAAGAACAGAATTTGCATCCCCAAGAAAGTCTTTAGCCCATAACTGAAAGAAAAAAATCACCTGACAAAACAATTGTTTTGATCATGAGTGTAGGCTTTTTGCTTGACATGTTCCCCCTGGAATTCAGGAATTACAATGGTGCCCAAACCAGTTTGCACCATTGTAATTCCACCACTGTAAATGAAAGTAATCATTAAGGTTGTAGATGACAAACATACAGAAGTACATGTAAAAGGAAACAGCAAAACCAGAGAAATAGAGAACAAATATGTATCAGCATTTGTGATATGACAATACATTAAAACAGTGGTGTCCAAACTACAGCCTCCAGGCCAAATCTGGCCCACAAACATTTGACACATCACTTGTAAATAATAGAAATAGGTTTATATATTAGGTATATATGAAATACAAAATTTTGTGGTCCACCTAACTATAACTTATGCACAATTTGCCTGCCAATTATAAAGTTTGGGCACTACTGCATTAAAAGAGCAAGATATATCTTCTACTGTGCCATAAGAAAAACCACAATAAACAAAGGTCAGCAAGCAGCAAGGATTGGCCTGAGATAGAAGTGTACAGAAACAGTTGATGAAAGACTGGGAAAACTTACTGTGGTCAAATGAATTCTACCTAGTATATTGTATGATTGGAAAGTGATACAAATGCAGTTTAAAGATAGCTTCCCAAACTACTACTACTACCACCACCACCATGTAGTACAATAAATGGGCTAACCGTGAGTTGCTTTTCTACAAACGAGTTTGCTAATTACATTTCTACACCAAACATCAACATAAAAGACTACATTGAAATATTGAAACAGAATTTTCCTCAATTCAGAACCAAATTGTTCCATAGGAAGAAAGTCATTTTCCAACAAGATAACGCAAAGCCACATATGATGAAAATAACCAAAATTGTATTGATTTTTTTGCCTTAGCCTGTGTATAGTCTAGATCAGTGTTTCTCAACCTGTAATGAATCATCGACCCCTTCAATAAAACCGTTATGTAGTATCGCCCCCTTCACTTCAAAATTCCAATGCCGAGGGCCAAGGCTAATGCCAAATTCGTACTGCATTGAATAGACTAGTGACTAGTATAATGTTATTTGTTTAATTATTGTACGATATAACAAATAAAATATCTAATTATTCTTAATATAATGTTTTACTATATCGCCCAAAAAATTGTTTTTTGTTCCCCAAAATATAAATTGTTACTAATCTCCCTCTCAACATGGAAAAACACCTATATGGGGGTGATAGCGCCCCCATTGAGAAACACTGGTCTAGATCTTAATCTGATCAAAAACTTATAAAGATATCTAAAGTGAAGTCAATAAATGAAAATCAACAGCACTGTTGCTGAAAAAACGAGACCAAATTCCTCCATATCAAATTCAGTGACTAGTAGATTTAATGCCTAGACCAGGGGTGGCCAACAGTTTTTGCCCCTGGGCCGAATTGGAAAGAAAACTTTTTCCATGGGCCGAACCAGAGGCTTTCCCAGGAAGATTTTGAGGTGGTGCGAGATCTCATTGTGGTATCACCCTGTAGAGACTAAATTGTAGATAGAGATTACAAATACTTTTTTCACATTATCATGCTTTATCGACATTCTATGCTGTACTTAAGAGATCTGTAATGGAGGGTTAACTCTAAATGCACAGTGAGTTGTTGACTTTTTTTTTAAGGTGTCAGAATTTTTCATCAACCTATTCGGACTTCAGTAGCTAATATTGAAAGATTGATCGCAGGCCACGTAAATTCATTAGACGGGCTGTATGTTGGCCATGCCTGGCCTAGATGCTGAAGTGATTAGGCAGAGAGATGACTCAACTAACCATTGAAATTTAGCACACTGTATAAAATAAATTGATTTGGGTTGAAAAAACTAATCTGCAAATTCATTATTGAAAATGTTGCATTTATTTTTATAATCAGTTTATATATTTTTTCACTTTCAATTATATCCAGAAGATTCACAGATTCCCTGGAACTGTCAAGTTTGGAGAGATATAAACTATTTTGATTTTATTTTCAATGATAATAGAATAAAATAAATTATTTTGATAGTTATTTACCAGAATCTAAATTATTTATATAATAAAGACTGAAAAACAATAATAAGATAATAAATGGTACAATTTATACCTTTACATTAAAATTATAATTTCAGACTAAGCATTAATAAAAGAGACAAAAATAACTGACACTTTCATTAATACCTGTACCTAATCTTTTACATTAATTACATTTCACAGCCGTGACTAAAGGTATATAAAGACACTAAACACACCTATTGATACACAACTGTGACTTAACTAAGTGACAGACACTAGAATTGTTTATTGGCCACACTCTTTGGTATAGCCGAAGAAACATGAATAGGAAAGAATAAAAGTTTTAGGAAGGGTTGAGGTGGAAGGTGAAAGAAAGCAAGATAGGACAGAGTGAAACTGAGCTAACTAAGTGACAGGTGATTAGCATCTGTTCAGAAGATAAAAATTATTTTGGAAACAAATTATCATTATTTAAAATCAAAAATTGTAAATATATAGAGTAATTTAAATATAATAAGAAAAAGTATACTGGGACATTGCTGATTGCAAAAAATAATGCAAATGATACGTCCCTGATGAGATGAGTTTCTGAAACATAAGCTTTCTATTACCAGATCAATGCAGATAACATTGTTGTTGATGTGGAAAACAGTGATGAAAAACACTGAGAAAAATAAAATGTAAACAAAAATATTAAGTGGAAATAAAGTCTTTTCTAGATGATATTTTTTGATTTTCAATAAACAATGCTATGAGAATTACAAAAATTCTTGCAGACATACAATGCTATTCCACAATATCTTGATCCATATAATCTTTTTCGTAGGATTTTTTATCAGACAATTGTAGTCTTTTATGTTTAGAACATAAAATGACTGTCACATCTATATGTCAAGTTCAGAGATCAAAAATGTTAATACAACCTATTCATATAGTTTTAAGATTTTTTTCAAACATTCAAACTCAATTACTTCAGAAATGTGCTTCTGAAGATTAGCACTATATGTCCCTGAGGGCTTCATATTTTAAATTCATTAGTTTTTAAAAATATTCTTAAAAGCTATAATTCTGTATGATAAATTTCTAAAATGTGATTTTAACTGTTGTTTTTATACAAAACAAGTTAGTTTGAATTTATCATTGTAGGCACGAACTGTAAATCACATTATCTTATTGACACTAATAAGATTTTGATATAGAGAAAAGTTTTAAATTATGAAATTAATTTCATAATAGGATTTTAATTCTAATAGTTTCCAAAAAAAAAAAAAATGCACAGATTTATAGAATAAAAAAATTACAAAGCAAATGTGGATGTTCATTTTCAAAGGACTTAAAGCAAAAGATAAAGATTTGGATTAAAATAATTTACAAAAGTATGCAAAAAATTTATTACAGATATAACAGGCCATCTCAAAAAATAAAACAACTTTATAGATTTGCACCAGATTTTTTTATCATCTTTTTACAATTTCCAGTATCTGGATTAATAAAAAGTTGATAACAATATCAATTTCCCCATCATTCATTAGTAGATTGGATTATTCATTATACTCAGTAATGAATAATCCAATCTACTAGTACCAAGTAGTTGGCAATTGTCTGAAACCTAAAAAATTATGCAAAATGTACAAATAAAACAGATATTAACAGACATGGAAGAATCTTCACTCAGGAGCAAAGACAACAGCAGAGTGAAAGAATGAAGAGGTATTGGGAAGAAAAGAAGAACAAAGGGAAGGGAAGAAGGAAAAGTAAGTCATAATTAGTTGTTTGTATGTGGTCCAAAGATGGCCAGAATCGACACAAGAAGAAGAAAACACATTTTTGTGCAGGAAACTGTACAGAAAACTGCATATTAGTTTCATTTTTCCGCAATTTATCATTTGAAGAGGAGATGACATTTCTTTATTCAAAACCTAATTCTAAATTCTACTCAAAATCTCACTTAATCACTCACATATTGTGTAGTAGATAAATTATTCTAAAGCAGTTTTAATATTTTTAATTCAAATTAAATCATTATTATGAAGTTAAAAAAGCAAGAGGGAAAATTTCAAACTCTGAATACTACATAATGCTAAGATAAAAGTTAAAAAAATATTGTAAAAAAAGGAGAAAGTGCTAAAAAGTTTTTTAAATTATTTAAAATAAGTTATTTTCTGTCTTATAATTTTATAAATATTTTATTACTATTCTGTATAAATTCTGATAAATTTTTCACTACTCTAAATTATCTTTATAATTCAAAATGTAAAAATAAATATTTCACTTAAATTCCTATATTAATTTGAAGATTTAAAAAATCTTATTGCTGATAAAACATTAAATTCTTTCAATTATCCTAGAGAATTTAGGAAAACATTTTATCTAACAGTTTATAGTTACATTTACAAAAAAACAACTCTTGAAATAAAAAAAAGTATGACTGTAATAATTTTAACCACAACTGGACATTTATAACATATAACTAACGAAAAGAAACACTTGCTAACATAAGTCATCGATATCTTTGAAATATGAGCCAACTTTTTAAAAAATGGTTCGATATTATAAAATTTTTATTGCGGATTACGCAAAATCTCGTAAATGCTGTATATAAATTTAATATGCCAAAAAAAAATAAAATATTCTGTTAATAATTGGCGGCACAGTGATGTATTTTCAAGGTCATCATTAACTACACACAGACAGACAGTAAAACAATCGTTTTATTCATTTCCCGTACATCATCGATTCGTCGTTCTCCAAACAACTACCGTAATCAAGCATGAAATAAATCATTTTGTTCCACTTACGAAGCGGTATGAAAAATAAATTTACTTATAGATAACTAAAGCAATCCCCTGGGAAAGTTTTTAAAATAATACCGGGCACAGAATGGCGATAATTCTTTTTTAAAAATAAGATACAAAAACCGCGCGGAGTAAGTACCGTACATTCTACCCATTCAATGCCGCCTACTGATGTTCTTAAGATAACATTCACATTTCGAGTCTCACCTTTATCGCTTTATCCCGGTAACCCATTTTATCGAATCGACATAATCAGCGCGTGACTGAATCATTTTTACTTCGATGTTTCAAATATAGCGGTCAATCAAGATTACATTCACAAACTGATCAGAAGGAAATTCGTAGTTCTTCGATCCTGTGTAACAAAGCCTCGTAAATCTTTTTTTACTTTTTTTATAACATAAAAAAAAGAGCATCTTTCCCCCCGACAAGATTCTAGTTCTTCCAAGTTTAACAGACCGATTCGCCCGAGAATACGTGGACGAAATCGGTTCGGAACATATCAGCACGCATATTTTAATTACGATAAATTCAAAAGGAGGAAAAAAAGGAAAGCGAAAGTTACGTAAACTAAGTTAAAGTGTTTCGTCACTTCCGTTTCGCTAAAAATTTAGGGCGACGACCTCTCGGTTTTCGTATAACTTGCCAACACCCTCACGATTTATTTTGGAAAGTTTACTCACAGACAAAAGGAACAAACAAATTTTGTTCCTATTTTATCCCTTCTATTTCTAAGCTAAATACGCCATCTTTTACTCTACATTTTTAATCAAAATATAGAAAATATAAAAAGAAAAACACTCACTTCAGTCAGCGCATGTAACTGCCCTTTATGAACACACACACCCATCAACCTATAAGAAGAAGGGGGAAAAAAGCATTTTTTAAAGCAGAAATAATAATATTTAAACTACTACATAATTTTATTTTATATTTATAAATTTATCCAGCCGTTTAATATTTTTTTGCTTAATACAAATTTTATTTTATAGATAATTTAAATTCTGTTCAGTACTTTGAACATCATACTCAATCATCTGACAATTATCGCAAGTCTCGTTCTTCATCCGAATCTGATTCCTTAGGGAATTTAGTTTCATCTTCAGTCACACGTCTTCTGAGCATATCGATATAAAAACATAGGAAAAAAAAGGGCCATCAATAGCTCACCTAAGTATGTTTGCGTGAGATAATCTGTTCATTAACTGGACTTCCCGGAGCATATTAGGACGATTATTAAACGACGTATTCATTTTTAATACCATCACTTGACCGGTCGTTCGGTGTGTCACCTGTAATGAAATACTAATTGAAAAAAAATACTGTCCAAAAAAAGAAAAAAAAATCAGTCGCGAATTCGTAGAATTAAGGAACGAAATCGGAACAGGCGTATCATATTTTTTATTTAAAAAACTTTTTAAAAAATAATCTTAATTATACCTATAAAACATCTAAAAGAATTTTAAAAGGTTAACAGCCTGTAAATATAAGTATTAGTTTTTTTTAATATATAAAATTTAAAACAAATCAATCAGATGACGTAGCATCATCAAAAAAAGTGTATCATCATCATTTACTGGTAAAGAATAATTTATTTCTTTATTTAGCTTTTATATTAAAAAAAACTAATAAATTATTCTCACTAGATTAGTCCTTATACGAATAATTTTTTAAAAATTTAATTATATCAGATTTTGTACAGCGACTTTACATCGCTACGCCCCCAATTTTAATATAGACAGGAGTGAAATTATATACCGCACTTCGAAATATCTAATTACATTTCTAAAAAAGATAAGCCACAATACTAAAGTATTATACAGGATAGCCCAAAAATCAGTTAACCATTCTGAAGACAACTTATTGTAGTTTATACTATAACAAAGTTTATAAAAATTATTTAAGATACGATCTTCCAAGTTCAATACACAATTTACAAGGTATTTCTACAAGTTTTCCGATTTAAAAAATTGACTTACAAAACGTAAAGTTTCGGCAATCGGTTCTTCGATATTCTCGGTTAACTAATTTTTGGACCAACTTAAAGATCTGATTATTTTACTCTTAGGACACTTTACAAATTATTTTTATATGATCAAAACTAATCGAACAAATTCATAACTGAAAGCAAGAAAATGATGAAAATTTTTAATACATTTTGATACAGTGAATCATTAGTTTGAACTTAAATTTGGTAAATTACATTAAAAATCTATTAAACGAATTAAATTCTATAATTATATTAGCCCATCTACATCATAAAATCATTCATTTTTCATGATTTAATACGCTTAAATATTTATTTATTATTACTTTTTATCTGCACGATCGTAACTATTGCCGGATGATACTGCTGCGAATTCGAAGTTCATTATTCAAACTGTAGTAATTCATTATTAAAACTTTAAAATACATTTTTACTAAATTTTCCGCATTCTTTTAAGTAGGCGTAAGTTAACACGTAGGCTACGATAAACCAAATCGAAGAAAAATCTTTCACTTTTGTTCAATAAAAATTTAAGATTAAATCTTAAAATTCCTGAATATATATAAATTGTCCAAAATGCACGCGGTAGTAAACACTTATAAAAATATATTTTTAAAATTATTAATTACTTCTTACGTGTAAACAGTTGATTTTAGGAAATTAAATAGACTCTTGACCGATCTATTTTTATATTTTACATAATTTCCAGACAAGTACATTACAGGAAAACTTTTGAATATTTTTGAGGATCTTTCCTGAATTGAAGGTTTGTCTTCTAATAAGAAAATTGCAATTTTTGATTTTCGGTATTGCTAAACAATCATTGTAAATTTTCTTATATATTTGATTTTATTAATATTTGTTCAATTAATTTCATTCACATCTTTCACTTTAGACTTTAATCTTTGAAATACTTATCTAGTGTATAAAGGAATCTAATCTGATTTCATTTGTTAAACGATTAACCTAATCGCGTTACCTTGAAATTCGAGTAGAGTATTTTAAAAATCCATTAATTTTGAAAAACTATACGAAAATCATAACTTTACTACGCTTACAAATAAACCAGTCTAATCAAAAAGAAAAAAATTAGACTGAGTATGATAATAGTAAATTATATAAAAGAATTGGAACAATTTAAAATTTCACTGAAAATAATATATTGTTTACATGTACAAAGTGTTTACAACTTTTTTCTGTAACCTTATTCCTTTCATTCGGTATTTATCAAATTTCATTTTTCAGTACTTATCAAATTTTGATTTCACTCGACTGATAAAACCACACAAAACTAAGTTCGGAGCATAGAAAACACGGGTATTAAATTAATTTTTCAATAAAATATATACGAAGTTTATGTTAATCAAGCAGAAAATACTACAAGTTCATATAATGTTGTTTGTTTTTTTTTTTAACAGAAACACTAATATTCCAGGTACGTTCTGGAAAAACTAGTTCTTAACGTTCTATGACATTTTCTTTAAAAAAATTATATATAGGTCTTTCAAAAACTATTTTGGATCCATTTAAAAATACTGTGTTTTTAAGTTAGAATTAATAAATCAGATAAAAATTATCAATGTTTTAACCTTCCTTTTTTTCCGCCTACTTTAACGCCTACCGTTACACGAACTGGACGTTATCCAAAAGTGTAACGACATCTCATTAACATTGAACATCTTATTTATTTCAACATTTATAGTACTTTCTAACATTATATCTAAAGACCCACGATGAAAATAATTTCGTTGAGAGATACGAAACATCAGAAAAAATTTTTCAGAAAGAGGAATTTGATCCTCAATTAATTTTATGAATACGTTTTCCATTTATAGTTAAATATTTTATACGCATCTTCAGATTTGATAAATTGTGCGTGCAGCATGTTGCGAGATTCTGGCATCGGAACCGCACTAGGATTATTTATGGTGTATGACTAGGTGCGAATTTTTCTAACTTGCATCTATGCTAAATCAAATATAACGTCTAAATTTCGCAGGTATAACAATACAGGAACACTTCAAATGCCGAAATAAAGACGATGATAATTAATACAGCATCAAATTTATTTCGAGATAAATTTTATTTTTGTACTTCATTAAAACACGATTAAGTAAGGATTTTTTTAGTGATGACATCAAAAAACTGTTTTTATCCAGTTTTTAAGTGTTAATATTAAAAACATGTAATGGAAGTCGTAAAAAATATTTTTTTTCAGAGATTTACATTTAAAAAAATATCAAAAATAAAAATCCATTAAGTTTAAAAATTCGAAATATTCCAGATAATTATTTCAGGTTATTGCATTTTACTCTAAAGCAATAGTCGTCTAATTAAGTATTAACTTTAAAAAAAAAACAATTTAAAAATTTAATTAGTTATCATAATAATATAAAAATGTGCATATTACGTTTTCTAAAATTAAATTTATTTCTATAATTAACCTAAATAGAAAATCTGAAAACAAAATGGATCATTAAATTTTAATTTAAACTCAGTTTACATTACTTCTTAAATTGTATCACATTATATAAATATTTGAATTTTAAGACAGATTTTCATATCGTACAGACAATTCTTTAATTCCCATTAAAGATTATCTATTTTTTTCCTTTCTTTTTTTCCTTTGAATCGAGCCATAACACAAGTGGGCTATATACCTACATAACTTTTAGGTCTATGACGGAAATCTAAAGCAGATTTTGTTTTGCAGTTAGTTTCGAAAACTGGGAAACACGTTCGTTCTACTTTATCACATCTGGATATATTTAATGATCCGTGTATTTGACCCCTTTTAGTGTTTATTTTCCCTTTATAGTTAAAGCCTATCGGTTACATCATATGCCGACGCTTAATTTAATAAATAGGACTTTCACAATTTCACTATAATATCATAATCCATTTTGGTCCTTTTAATTAAAATACGCACCTAACATACATTACGTGTAACCCGTGTAAAACTACTACACAGCATCTTTGAAGTATGTCAAACGAAAACTAAACACTTGAAACCAGTTTTAAAGCCGAAATTGGTCGTCTAATTTAATTTCTTTAGCAGAAATTATAAGAGAAACCAAATTAGAAGTCAGTTTTCAGTAGATGGAAACGTAATTTAGTGCGCCTGTTTACTAAAAATTTATGTAAAAACCATCTGAACGTCGTTCGTAATCAATTAAAAATTGCAAGTAAAGAACACGTTATTATTAAAATAACGAAAACATCTCGGCAGGACATCCAAGTGGAATAATCTGATGTTATCATCAGCGTAATTGTAATAACAATTGTAATGGTCATCTAACTTTAATTTTTAATTAAAGAGAATGATGAGATAACGAGGAGTACGTTGGCATCAGACAACTGTCCTTGTTATCTTGCAATACTCCTTTAACAATGCCCGTCTTATATAACTTAAAAAATAATAATAAATGCATCTCTATCATCTTCGACTTTAAATTTTTATATAGCTTTAAGAAAAAAAATGTATTAAATTTTTTCTTTGTCAGATAAAATATTTATTTTAAAATTTTCCGATCTAATTCTGCATAACATTTTTATATGGTATCATGATTATCGGTGAATGAAAACACTTTATGAAACTTAGCGATGTGAAACCTTTCTATGGAAATGCATATTTGTCAAAATCACTATTGCATGTTATTTCTTTCCCTATTTGCATAATCGAATTCTGAAAAAGCATTAAAATATATACTAAAGTTAAATTTACATCGGGTTAAATATCTTCCGATAATGTACGATTTTGTATGAAATTAATAATAGGAAACGAAGCAAAGATCATTAGTACTGTACAATGTCCTTGCTAGTATTTACTATCAACGTACCGTGGGAGGAATTTCATAACTAATTGTTACACAAGGTCTTAATTGAAAAGTCAATCTATAGCAGAGTTTCCTAGTGTGTAGGGTGCGAGGTAATGACGTGAACTAGTACACACTTTCCAAAATTTAACGAGACCCATGGTTTATATTAAAATTTTGCTATCATTTGCAATATCACACTTGTGCCAAGCCAGCTTTTCCGATGTAACATTCATAATGATTATTTGACTATTAGTGGAGATCGTTATTTAAAGTACTACTAGTGACAATGTCGTTAACGACATCTTATGTTGATAATTTTATTCGGAGAGGCAATTTTCGTTATACTAATAATAATTGTTTTCATTGTCATCATTATTTCCCATTCTTCTTATGTCCGTTCCTATGTATGTTAGTAAAATCATAATCAATTTTTAAATTTAATTGAGTAAAACATTTGCCACACAAATATTAATTTATTAATATTTAT